ACAGTGAGCGCAGCGCCATCGCCGAACATTGCGATACCCTAGACCATCGCATTGACTTCGCGAACGCGCACGTGGTGGACACAGAGCCCAATTTTCGAAGAAGACTTTTCTTGGAATCATGGCACATCCAACACACCCCAGGAAACCTAAACAGGTCGCTGGGCGCTCTGCCCTCTGTGTACGCACATGGCCTCCGTGACCTGACGGAAAAGCTGAAGAGATGACCATCTTCATAACTAACAAGTTATTTTACAATTTTTCCAATTTCCTAACTTCTCTTTTTTAATTTTTTCTTTTCTCTTTCTTTCTTTTTTTTCCTTTTTTTGAAGACAAAGAGGTTGGGAGCTGCTGCTGTGTCCGTGCGCCTTCAGTCACCCCTGAAGAAGAAACTGTGTTGGTTTTGAAACGTCGGGTTGCCTTTCATTTTTTGGTTGGAGATATATTTTCAGACTTTAACTCTCACCCAACCAGGCAGATATCTGTCGAATATGTTTACTTTCCACTCATAGTCTTTCTCAATATCCGAGCCCGTGGCTATCGCCACCAACTAATCAGTTAGAATTCGGAGATGTCCACAAAACTTGGTTCTTTCAAAACCATCAATGTTCCTGACCTACAGCAGTCAGTATAAAAAATGAAGTAAATAGACCATCATGCAGAGCTGGCGGAAAACAAAACCTGGTATTGATTTGTCGAAATTGTGTCGTGAATGGCTATTTTGGAATGACACAACAAGAAAAAAAAATGTCAGAAGTTTTACACTGACATTCTGTATAATGTCACTGTCGAATATATATATCAACGCACAACATCGAAGACCATAGAAAGGAACGAAAAACACAGAACATATTTTTATAGTTTTCTGTGCTGTTCGTTTCTCTCCTTAGTCTCTCAATTTTATTACTGTATTCAGGGGCGGATTTAGAGGGGGGATCCGGATGTCCTGACCCACCTCTTGATTTCTAAATGTGTAAAATTTAGGGCGTAAAACTAAGGAGAGGGGAAGGGGGTTCCTAAACATATGGTACGCTGACCAACACCTGACCCCCCCCTCAGGAAATTCCTGCATCCGCCCCTGACTGTATTCCACTTAGCAGTATTTTACAAGATTAGGGCTAGAGTTCTGCTCCTTCCTTCAGTGTGGGCAAAGCCTCTTCTGCATATCTTAGGTTGCAACAAACTATTCTTCCAGCACCTAGTGGGAACCTTCAAAGGGTTGTTTACAAACGCTGCCAAATAATAAAATAGCAATGTTTATTTTTATTAAATAGAATGCGATAATCCCCAAGTAGCGGGGGTAACATGTATGCTTGGGTATCAAACTATATAATGCAAATAAATGTAGTGAAAAAGTGTCGGAGCTACAAACGTGTCCAACTTTTGATTAACTAGAAGTACTAAGATGTTTTTGAGTTCCAGCTATTGTGAATGTCCCATAGTTGGGTATCTGGGACTACTTTAAACCTTTTGTCATAAAACGGCTGCCTAGCATTTCAATCAAACAAATTAATGGAAAAACTGAAAAAGAAGAAGGTTTTTAGGAATGTGTAGTTGGTAACCGAAACCGTAAAAAACGGAAACGAAACCGATATCAACAGAAAACAGAAACCATAACCGAGACGTTATATTTTTTGGTTTTAGTCTCTGGTTTGGACAAACAATTCCACATTCTGCACCTTAACGAAGTTTGACAGCTTCATTTAGAGGACGAGGTTAAAATTCAAAGGAAATACTCTATCAGTTCTCCTCCGAACCTTATACCAAGTGTCACATCAAACCGATAAAGGCAATTCATGGCCGAAATATCAGTACACAGAAGAAATAGAATACTAAAAGAAATCCCAAAATGTATGTGCCAACGTTGCTAATACTCCAGCACTCCCTGTTCAATTACAATGTGTCTAACTCTATGATGGAAAATTTCCAATTAAAACTAAATTTGTTCCACAAGCCTAGAATGCAGCTTTGGGCAACATAAGCTAGTTTTGTTTGGTGTGCCATATAAATTAAAATATAAACTATATAATACATTCCCTATGAGAGAATGGTGCATTCAGTACACTTGTTGTTACTAAACAGAAACCTGATCCATGGGTCTGTGTGGAATAATCTTTTTTCTTTTTTTTTCCCCAGATGAGAGAATGATTTGAGGAGTACAGTGACTTTGGCATTCTCAAATGTGAAAGATGAACAGACTATAGTCAGATGCAAGCTAAGAATGCACCAGAAGCCATACTAGCTCATTGCTTCCATTGCACTTTGGCCGGGCATGCTTACAAAACTCTCAAATGTTACCCAAGGTGAAAGCTTGTGCTGCTTGTTTTGTTTGCACTATGGAGCACCACTTGTCAAAAGGCTCTGTTTCATTGAGATGCCACAAAACAGGATCAGAAGTAGCAGCCCTAGGCAAGCTTAAAAAGAGACATCCTCTAACAAGCATTTCTTGCTTTTCTGCCGACTGAAACGAGGGACTAGTCAGACGCAGCTTCTAAGGCAAGCCGCACAAACATTAAGTGTTATGAATCGAGGTGCTCGCTCTGAAATCGCACGGAACAATCGAGGCCTGCATGTAAAGAGTACAAACTTCCACCAAAGATGTAATTTAGGGAATTAAAAATTAACTGTAGGGCTAGTTGGTTATTCATTACCAAGTTATAGCACAAAAGACTAAGACAGGAGGCTGTCCTGTCCCATTGTTCCTTCCTGTCCTATTCTTTAGTGCTAAAATTTTGTAATTTGTAATGTAACTTAGTGATGCCTTTTGCTTCGTAAAATCTGAAGGCGTAGCTCCGTTCCTGTGAAAGATTAGACCAATCCTCCTGGCATTTGCAACGGCAAACGCCAACACAAAGAACTAAGTCATCTGAGGGTTGTGCTTGTGGTGCCACCTCCAGTAATGTATGTGCTCCAACAAAAAGCATTGTTGGAGCACACACATACCTACTCTTAATTCCACTGCAAATACTATTTCAAGAATCATGCAATTAGCCAGTCAAAATCAAAACAGTGCTTCGAATTTGCCTTTTCATTTCTGTGCAAAAAGTTGTTAGCATGTATTGCAAAGCGTATATTGAAATTTCAAGGGTAATTTAGTTTGCACATCAGTGGCATCTGACATGTGGAGATTTATGATGGTGGAAAGTCAGCACATTGAGAATTAATATGCCATAAAAATACAGCTAAACTTATTAATGGTATACCCAAGTTTTCATTCCACTGCTAAATCAATTTAATTTCAATTTCAACTGCATCCAGAAACAGGGGGGCGGGGGGGTTGGGTCTGTTTAGAGGTGTTAGCTAAACATAAAAAAATAAACCTATGGTGCAGTTCAGCTACACCTAATCACTGTGATTCATCAACCCTTTCCCAATAGCTAAGTTCAAAGTAATCTTCCTTAAAACTCGAAATTGAAAGAAACAAAAAAACATGACCACAACAAATGATGTCGCAACAAACTTTTCAGAATGTTGCGGTCTATCATATAAATTATAAAAGTGACCACAATTTTATTGTAAAAATTTTACTTCCACATATACCTTGTCAGTCAGCATTCATCAGCCTTTTTTTCTTCTTTTACATGATGCACGGTTGTCTATTATTTTACCCTGGAAGTGTTTTACCCCTCAACACAAGGCTGCACTGCAACGAAGCTACATGCCGAAATTGCAAATTTTACTCTGCGGGCGCAGTTTCTCTGCAGTACACGAGTGCGCGGTAAGAAGCACACTCAACAGGGCTAATTAAACCGCCCGAATAGACCAGGAACAACGAGAAATATCTCGAAACTTCTGAGTATCATGTCGCGTTTGATACAAAGATCATATCAAATCGCACATATTCAGAGCAACACACAAAGATGTAGAAAATTCGTGCAAGCTTATCATATTAATCTAGCAGTGTAGCGACGACTGAACTACAGTGAAGTCCCAAAGTGGTTGCCCACAAAGAGAAGTGATTCAGAAGGGGAAATAGGCTAAAATAACAAAATCTGTACGCATGCAGAAAAAAACAAATCTTTCCAGCGCTTCGTTACAAGGTGGAAGCGAAAAGATGAGAAAGAAAGAGAAGCTCTCGCCTTACAACGAACGCATTGTGGAAGTTCGTTGTAAATGGTTTTTGCTATATCAAACTGATCGTAGTGTTTCCTGCTGCTCGTTATAAACGGGTTTCACTCTATTAGTTTGTCTTGATAACATGAGACTAGCTTTTGGCACAAATTATCCACATTTTGATGAAATGTAGTAGGACGTAGCAGGGTAAACACTTTGGTGCAGTTTGGCACAAATGGTGCAGCAATCGCATCCCCGCATCTCCCGTTAGGCACACCAAGCCGACGGCGGCATTCGGTCGAAAACAGATGATGCCATCGTCTACTTGCTTCCCCCAGCGGGAGTTGGTGCCCCAAGCACTACCATCGGTTAACACAGTCGTCTGCAGTTGCGTTCGCCGTTGAGAATGTCAGGGGTTTTGGTTTAACCTTTTACAGGAACAAAGCTATGCCTTTAAATTTCACACCTTTGGTGAAAGCCTCGGCTCATTACGGGTAAGCCCTTAATTCATAATATCCTAGATGCCTGTTAGGCTTTTCATATTCACTGAATGCCCAATGCAATATTTCGAGGGACCATGAAACAGAAGTTGGTGGTAGGAAAACAGATGACTCTTCCCTCCCACGTGCGATTATCTTGTGATGGCACTGGGCCTCTGGAATGATGCATTGTGTTCTCAAACAGTGCTACTGATGTTTTTTTTTTTTTTTTTTTTACTTTTTCTGTTTTCTTAGTTTTGGGGCTACCTCTTAAGCTGCATGTTCAAGCTTTGGCAGGCCTGACTATGTGGGTTACTTGTCCTGTTTCATACTTTATGAATATGAAGAGTTTATTTTGGGCGCTATTAAGGCGTAAGTAAAAAAAGATTTGTCATGGTTCCTTTAATAAGCTTTTCTGTAGGCACAGCTGTAGAGTGCTAAGCAGGAAAGGGAGGTATACGACAAACTTACAATATTCCTTTCTTTGATCCTTTGAAGAAGCACGTTGGAGGGAGCATCGAGGTAGATGACCAAGTGGGGGCGAAGCAATTCCGGAAGCCCCGCTTCCTTCATCAAATTGTAAGCCTTCAAGGCTATGTGCGCAGGGATAGAATAGCATGGCCGTCAACACTGGGTTCGTGCACGTTTTGTGGACTCAGTCACGCTTACCCAGCTTGGAGATGTAGCCAAACTTGTGCATTGTTTCTGCAAACACGAAGTCGGAGAACGGACTGCGCTCTAGGACAACTCCTTCCCCTGAAAGGTGAAAAGCATGAATCCCGTTAAAGGTGCACAGCAAGTGTTTTCCACCTCACTTATGTGGGGCTTTAACTCAATCCCAATAAACTGTGCCAATTCCAAATATTCACAAATTGAGAGGATGGAGTAGCAAGCTACTGAATCAAATCTTTTAGCAGAACACCTTAGTTATGCTGAGCGAGAGCAATGTGGTCCACTGCCAAATTTTTTAGGTGAAATCGAGACATGACCCACTTTAAGGTTATGAAATAGACAAACCCATGCTAATCTAATTATTTTGCTAAGTTACTTTGGAGCAACGTGACGTGACCTAAACCAAATATTTACACCTTACATTCATGTTAACACTCTTAGAGCGAGCCTAGTTAAGAATGATACGCCTTTGCATAGTGAGGATAGTATATCCCACCTAGTTTCGACACACAGTTTCATCGCAGTACAAAATAACCACAGTTGTCCTCTTCCAAGGTGCATGGCAGAAAATCACACGACTTACCGGTGTTCAGAAGGTGAACTAAAGCGTCGAGGTACCTCTCAAAGCGCAGCTGGAACATTATCATTTGCATGCTGGCCACGTTAACGTTGTGCGGGTCTTCGTAGAACTTCTTAATGTCGCAGGTGCGGCACGCTTCCGGGGCCAAATGGTCGATGCTCCGCAGGTCAAACCCGTACTCGTCCACGTACAGTTGATCGAATGAGGGTTCGCCGAAATACTTCATCCCCAGCTCGTCGGCGAGCGACTTGGCGAGCGCAGTCTTACCGACACCGATGTTGCCTTCCAACACGATGACCTTCGTGTTTTCGTCGAAGCGCGACTCGACCTTGTCGATGAGGTCGTGGTACCAAAAGAACCTCTTGGTGGCGTACGGGAAGGGCTTCGGCTTCTCGACGGGCTCCCTAATGTGCCTGTTCTTGATGCCAGCCGACTGCTGCAGCTGAATGGTGCACCTCGCCAGGGGAAGCAGTCTGCCAGCCGACGCCTTGGGCAGCGCATGGGCGCACACGCTGAGCCGCACGATCGACAACATGACCACGGGGCTGTCGGGCCTCTCCGATCTGCGGGCACGAGGGGCTATCGCACCGATGAAACGCGGCACTCTACGATTTATTTTGACTGTTTTGACCTCCAACCAAAAGATCCAAGAAATGCTATCGAAGGAAACCGAAGTTAACGGCAGTGTTCGGCAGGGTTGCTTTCCGCCGGAGTATACGGTTCGAAAAGCGCAACACGTCATATTTGGCGGCTTTGAACTTAAAACTTTGTAATATTTATCTCTCAAGGTATTTGAGTTTTTTTTTTTTTTTTTTTTTAAGTTAGACATTTTTTTTTCGCACAAATAATAAATTAAGAAATTAAATACTTACTTGAGGCGCGTGGCGTAGATTTCACCGGCGCTTTCACTCATTCACAGCCCGTGTACCCACAGTGGGTGTGCCCATGCGCGGTTCTAGGCGCGAGAATACGAAAATGTTGTGCCGTTTTTGGGGGCTATGTTGGACAACTGTTTCGTTCCTCCTAAAAAGAGACGGAAGTGACGCAAGGGACAATATCGCGTCTGATTGGCTAGAGGCTCAAACGACGAAAGTTCCCTCTTTCGTCATTTGAGCCTCTAGCCAATCAGACGCGATATAGGCCCTTGCGTCACTTCCGTTTCTTTTTAGGAGAATTGAAACATTTGTCGAACATAGCCCCCCTGGTGCAGTTCTCATGAAACACGAGCGCGTGGTTACGGTGCTTGGCTTTCGTGCGGAGGCTGGGTTCGATTCGTGAGAGCGAAGCGTCTTTTATTTGTTCTTTCAATTTTCCGTTCCGTAAGTTTGAGAACCTTGCATTCTGATCGAGGTACAAATGTTCTACGCACCGAACATTCTACACCAAATGTTCCAGAAACCCGCGCTTGAAACGGCTCGACTAAGACGTCTTGGGCTTTACAGGACATCTCAAAGATGCGATTCACTTCTTGGGTGTCTTGTAGGTTGTAGCTATCTCTAAGATGTTTAGGAGACGCCTTGCAAGACGTCTTGTAGCCCAAAAAAGAGGGAGCGTTATGGAGTCTACAGGGTAACTACAAGACGACTCAAGACATCTGAGGCTATCAAGTCTTGCCAAGACATATGCAAGACCTCTTGCTCGTCTTGCCAAGACGTCTAGACGTCTAATAGGCGACTTCGTGTTCAGTGGGTAAGGGAATCCGCATGGCGAGCCGAAGTCAGTCTCGCCCCGGCGCTCTATCCTGCTATATTTCGCCAACATCAGTGCCTGCGACGCTAATCTTCTATTTTGTTTTGGGCACAATTGTTCACCTCATTAAAACGATTACTTTCCCAGTTATTTGCCGCCTCATCATTTGTCTGGCCACCCTTACCACATAAGGGAAAGCCTGTGGTTTATTTAGGGTTGTCAATGCTAAAAGGGGGGGGGGGGGGTTCAGCCTGGGGGTTTGTTAGGGGTGATATATAAATCAATGGGGAGTGCAACAAACAGCATGCAGCGCATGAAAATAATTCAAGGTAAAAGCTGCAGCATTTTACAGTTGTGGGAACCACGTGTTCCCCGTCTCCCTATATCTATAGCACACACAGGCCGTGGGGAGCTTATGGCCACGTCATCTTGGATACGGAGCAAGGCCGCATTCCTCGAAGAGGGCGTGTCTACCTCGCCCTTTTGGGTGAATGTGCCTCCGGCGCACCCTTTGGAATTTATTATGGGCGCGGCCCATCTGCGGGATAAGCCACACCACCTACCCCGGGCGCGTCCATTTTCTGCTGGCTAGATAAGCCGGCCACAAATGGCGGCCGGGACTCTCTGTTTTGGGGGAAGCTCTCCTCGCGAGCCTCTTTCTTTTTGTGCTTCCCCCTTGTCCCACGAATCTGCCCAATACGGCAGCAGGGGCCCCCTCCAGGTGAATGTGTCTAGTGCCGACACTTTTCCGCTTCTTTTATTTATTAGTTTTGCCGACAGGCACAGTGTGGTGGCACAGGAGCCAAATAAACCCGCTTCCTCAGTGTCCTTGTGTTTCGGAGTGATTCCCCTCCTCGGAGCCCACGGCAGCCTTCGGATGGACCCGGCCAAAGCAGTCCTTAACATCCAGCTACGGAGTGGGATCGACCTCGTGGCACAATAAGGTAATGCCCGCGCCACACGGGCAACTCGAATGCCATTTACAACGAATGACATTTGAACGATCAGCCAATCAGCGCGCGACACTCCGAGCTTGGGGCGTTCCACGCGTGACAGATCGCGAGCGGATTCGTCGATCACACGAATGTCATTCGTTGTAAATGGCATTCGAGTTGCTCGTGTGGCACGGGTATAAGTCGAATCCCACGCAGCATGGCAAATAAGCAAGAAAGAAAAAAAGAAGAAGAAAAAAAAAAAAGCAGTTACACAGTGCGGCAAGTTTTCATTTTTAGAGTAAAATTAAAGACGTTTACGATCCCCTTGAACACCAAACTAGAGCGCAGCTCTTGAGGAGGAGGAGGGGGAGGTATGAGAGGATGGTATGCCTCTCCTCCTGATCCGTACCCTCCCCTCTTCCTCTCCTCTCATTTAGAGGAAATTTTTTCCGCTAAATTTATCAGGGAAAATTTTCTGCTTAATTTAGCGGGAACATTTTTCTACTAAATTTAGAATGAAATTTTTTTCTGCTAAATTTAGCGGGAAAAAATCTATGCTATATTTAGCGGGGAAATTTCCATGCTAAATTTAGCGGGGAATTTTTTCAGCTAAATTTAGCAGGGAAAATTTTTCGCTAAATTTAGCGGAGAATTTTTCCCAGTAAATTTAGGAGAATTTGTTTCTGCTAAATTTAGCAGGGAAAATTTCCCGCAATATTTAGCGGGGAATTTCTTCCACTAAAATTAGCGGGGAATTTCTTCCACTAAAATTAGCGGGGAAATTTTCCCGCTAAATTTAGCGGGGAATTTTTTCCTCCAACTTTAGTAGGGAAATTTTTCTGCTAAATCTAGAAGGGAACTTTTTCCACTAAATTTAGTGGGAAAATTTTTCCGCTAAGTTTGGCCGGGAAATTCTCCCATATTGCTACGCGCGGTGACGTCACGAGTGACGTCACTGGTGACCCTCGTGACGTCTTCATGGGAAAGTTCCATAATGCACCGCGCAATGACCTTTTTCACATACCGACGGCACCAGGCGGTGGCTGCACGAACTAAAAATTGAGGAAGTGACCTACCTGCGCTACCAATCGATAATGGGAGTTGCGCTACCAGTTTCTTCGCTCTCTGAGCTGCAACGCGTGCCCAACGCGACTTTAAAGAGGGGAAAGAAAAACACCCAAACGTCGCGTTTTTCTTTCCGTCCACTTTCTTTTTTTGTGAAACTCAATTATATATATGCTGCAATTACGTGTTCTACCCGCTGATCAACAGCCTCCTTCCGAATTTCCTCGATTTTTCGTACCGACTTCTGCCGCTTGGCATCGGGCGTTCGCGCGTGCGCAGAACGCTTCTCGGAAAAGGTCCATTATGCCGACGCCGCTCAATTTGGAAACGGGCGCCTAAGAGCTGCGCTCTAAAAATATTGAAAGCAATTCGATCATTACAGTACGCACCCTGACAGTTGCTTCCTGCCAACCAGATAACTTCCCGCAAGGAATTACGGGCCTTTCCCGAAATCTTTCATATTGCTGGGGCCTCCGCTCCTGGGGCTCCTGGTTACGTGCGTGGGTGGAAGCAGCTTCCGCTTTAGTGGCGCACGAACGTTGCGCGTTTTAGACACGGTCGTGTTTGTCTTCTGGATAGTGTTCGTCTTTTTAGTGCTTTTAATCATGGTTCAAACCGTTCATCAATCATCACCAACTATATACTTCGTTTCAGCTTCGGTCCGAGCGTGGCCGATGTTAGGAGCCGAAGGACCAATCAAACAGCGAAAGAGGCACAGCGCCATGGCGTGCTCTCTGCAGTTTATTGGACCAGCCAGTATTCGCCGTCTCTCTGTGCGTGCTCCTCCGCCGGCTAGTCAAGCGCAGAGAGCACGCCATGACGTTGCGCTTTTTACGTTATTTGATTGGCCCTTTGGCTCGTAACATCGGCCGCGCTCGGACCGAAGCCCAACCAGAGCAAGTCTCCATCGTCACAAAAAGTTGTCCCCAAGCATAGTACACTGTAGCTAGGTGGCGCAAGACACCTCCTATTTCGGTACGTTAGAAGTTATTTTATTTGTCGATCCAGGGCTAGCGCAGCTCACGGCGCATCGTGGTCTGCTCGCCGTCTGCTCTCAGGTTTGAACTTCTTGAACGTCAATTTCTTACCCTAGAAGAGCTGACCATGAATCCCGAAATGAAGCAAAAGGTGGCTGCGGTGCTAACCGTAACAAGGGAAGTGTTCCACTGGGGCTTCATTCCGGCAATTCTGTATTTAGGTGAGTTCCTTTTAAAGCCTGCTCCACTTAGGCTTAAGGGGTGTCCAAACGGGACACTACAAAACGCACGACTCCGACAAATCGTGAAAATTGAAGCGGACGCGCCCGCTTCGCGCCCGCTTCAATTTTCTTGATTTGTCGGAGTCGTGCGTTTTGTAGTGTCCTGTTTGGACACCCCTTTAGCTGTATTCCCTGGGTCCGAAGTAACGTTGCCTGGGTCCAAGCAACCCAGCTCCGGTGGAAATCAGTTCGTCGAACGACGTTTCATCAACAGATCGTTTCGCCGACACTGCGACGTTTCATTGACAGTTCGTTCTATCTAATACCGCTGTTACACGGGCACACTTAACTGCAGTTACGCTAAACCACAATTAGCGCACAATACTTGCCGACAACATTCTGCGGCGATGCAGTCAAAGCTATGGGCGAACGTGCGCTTGAGCATCTTGAGCACCCATGAATGCAGTGCACGCGCTCTCTTCACTTCTTTTGAAATAGCTGTCCGAGGGCATAGTGCGGTATCTGTGCTGCCACGTAACCGCAGTTAAAGCTGAGTTAACCGCGGTTAAGGGTGCCCGTGTAACAGGGGTATTCGGCTGTGTCAGAACCGATAGTCGCCGGCGGAGCGCCGTCACACACCCGGGAAAAAAATTCCCGGCAGTTTCGGACGGGCACTATGATGTCTGAAACGCGTCTATCGCTGGGGAGCGTGACACCCCGCCTGCGTTCACGCCGCTTCGCGGCGACAGTCTGCAGCTGCTCGCTACAAAAAAATATTAACCCACTTGGCCCCCCCGTACACGCCGCTGCGCGGCGGCCCGCCGGTGGCGCCAAGCCCCGCTGTCCCCTATTGCACCCACTGAAAGGGAGTGCAATAGGGGACAGCCCATTTAGTTCAGCGACGTTTCGTCCACAATATATATATATATATATATATATATATATATATATATATATATATATATATATATATATATATATTCAGTGATAATTGTAAAACAAATGTGTAAATATCGCCGAATGTTTGACACGCACGCACGCGCGCCAAACACACATAGGCTACGTTTACATGAATGCGATCGTAGCGCATCGAATCGAGCAGGAACCAATCACACGCCGCCTTTTTTCTTACTTCTTCCTCTTCTACCCAACTGCTACCAATCAAAATGATGAAATCTCGACTCGATGCGCTACGGTCGCATCCATGTAAATGCAGTCATACACACACAAGACTTCCTGAGCGAAGTGAGATGTTTCCCCTCATAGCACTGGAGCACACGGTTTGTTTTAGAAGTGCAGGATTACGGCTGGCAAATTGGTTTTCGCCCTATCGGAGCCGCCTGAGTGAATCCGCTTTAGTTCCTGTGTAGGGTGTACCAGAAGGAGTAGGGTTACTTCATGTGCGCTTAGAAGGCGTATTGTGGAGAGCGCGCCACTTTCCCTTTGGACGGCGGCAGGCCTTTGCAAAAATAGCTCTCTGGCTGCCGCCATTTTGCGACTCGAGCGACCCGTATCTGTCAGAAATTTCTGCCACCCGCCTGAGCTGCGGAAACCCGGTCAGCGCGACTCTACACCTGCATGCGCGTTCGGAGATCGCAGACTTTTCTTGGAAGTTTTTACTTCATTTGCCTGTTTAGGGTGCTTACGTTTCTTGTGTTATTTTCCACTGAGAACCAGGGAACACCAGGGCTCGTAGCCTGCTCTGCCTTCGCAGGGAACGAACAAAGAGAGCAAACGTCAAGCAGCCCGCGATGCGGGCCATTCAACATTCTTTCAGGATTATTTCCATTGAGATAATCTCCGAAAAGACTTCCCAGCTATGTTCCTAGTCTTCGCGAAAAATAGCTGATAGGGTTTGGGGTATGGGGATTGAATAGACACGTTCGTTCACCTGCTTTGGTGCTGCGCAAAAAAGCAGCACTTTTCAAAACATGCTCTCAGACAAGCCGGATTCCGTCCGATCTTCTTGAAGTGACGGGACTATTGTCGACTGCATATCGGATATGCTGTGTTATTTGAGACCTTTCTTGACTCCTGTTCGGATAATGCCGCATCGTGGGGTACAGTGCGCTGCAATATGAAAGACCTACTGGAAGTTTGTGACCGAGGCGGTGGCTAGCGGGGGCGGTGCGAGCGCTCCGGGTAACTCCATTCTGCTTCGAGGGGAGTAGGCTCCCTTGGGGCTTAGCACAAACTGATAAGCACATTGCGCTTTAGCTGTGCCCCGAGTGGGCGTCCTCCCCTCGAAGCAGATTGGAGTTGCCCAGAGCGCTCGCAGCGCCCCCGCCAGCCACCGCCTCGGCCACGCGCTCCCAGTGGGTTTTTCATATTGCAGCACACTGTGCATACAATATATGTTGTTCTATTCATGAGACTCGTTCAATTTCATGTTGTGAATGTTCAGCTATCCTGTGCTGTGGTCAGATATTTTTGACAGTTAAGACCTTTGTAAATTGACACGGCTGAGTGCATGGTACCGTAAAAAAAAAAAAAAATCAACATAAATGGAAACAAGCATTCCAGTTGCATTTGTTTCTGTTGTGCACAAACTCACAAAATATAGCTTTCATTTGTTTGTTTTTGTTCCCCAAAATAATGCAATGCTTTCTTAAAAACCTTGAGAAATTCTCTTCGCCCTAGAACACGAAAGAAAAAAAATAAAACGAGGCAATTTTGCCGCCACCAGTGTCCGGATTTGTGCTGACGCAGGCTACCACAGCCCACTGAAGAGAAAACAGTGCGGTCGGTCAGCACTGATGGACTGATGAAAGTCAACGCTCGGCAACTACCGCTTCATAGCAATCACATCAGTACTCTACCACGTGTTCACACAGATAATATGAGACCGACTGCAGACATGGGCAGTGGCAGAAGGAGTCCTGGGGGAGCTAGAGAACGGTTTCCGGGGTGGAGACGCCTTGAGGACAATTTATTCGTGCTGACGCAGGCCATAGAGATCGCTCAGAGAGAGAGGCGTCCACTTTACCTCTGTTTCCTCGACATCAGCCGGGCCTACGACTTGGTCGAGCATGAGAACCTGTGGAGGCAGAGTGGATCAACTTGCTGAAGGAAATTTACAAGGAGACTGCTGTGGTGGCACAGTGGCAAGAAGAGATGACTCATCCTGTAGCCATCACCAAGGGTCTGAGACAGGGATGCCCACTGTCGCCACTGCTGTTTATGCTCTACATGGCAGGCTTCGAAAAGAGACTGCAGGACTGTGCAGAGGGCTTCACCCTGGAATATACGGAGACGGGAACCAGTGGGGGAGGAAAAATCTCTGGGCTAATCTATGCCGACGATATCGTCCTGATGGCAGACTCCCTGGAGAGCCTGCAGGCCCTTATGAATGAGAATGGCACTGGGGCCGATTTTTAGTGCTAAGAAGTCGGCATTGGTGGGCTTCGGGGACAGAGGAGACGCCGAGGCAGATGACCTGAAAATCCAGGGGGAACAAGTACCGTGAGTATCACAATACAAGTACCTGGGAATCCACATCCAGGAGGGTCACAACTACCTCGAAGACCATGAGACCAGGCTCCAGGCTAAGAGCAGGAGGTCCAAGGGGATATCGACTGCCAGAGCCCTGTGGGGTTACAACCGCTTCCCTGGAGCATGACTTCACAAAAGGAGTTTTCAAAATCTCCGCTTTGCGCATCTTCAGCGCCTATCAAAGCTGTGCAGCGCACTCTTGCTATTTTTAAAAAGGGCAGGAAAAAAATTGAGATGTTTACAAATCTCTAATGCGAAATTAGAGCACTGCTCTTGAGGTATTTTGATTTTTCAATATACCGTCACGGGAGGGTACGCAGTGGAGGAAGGGAGGGTACGGAGGACCCTCCTTTTCTCTTCTTCCTTCATAACCTCCCCTCTTCCCATAGCTTCCCTGCTAAATTTAGCTGGAAAATTGACGCCAGTTGACCTCGACACCAATTCAGTTTCCCCGCTAAATTTAGCGGGGAAACTGAATTGGTGTGAATGTCATGTGACGTCAGTTTTGCCGCTAAATTTAGCGGAGAAACTGAATGCGCAGTGTTGCGTTATGGGACATCACAAACCTGCACACCAATTCAGTTTTTCCGTTAAATTTAGCGGGAAATTGAATCTGTGTATAGGTCTGTGACGTCCCATAATGCAACGCGTGCAATTATGCCGACAGCTATGACGACGCCACGAAACACGGGAATGAGCGCCTAGGAGCTGTGCTCTAAAACGTCACGACTGGTACCAGTGCGGGGGAATATACCTGGCAAGCTTGCAATTCCACGCGCAACCCTCGAGCGACACATGCTTGGCAGCCGAAAGATTGTCTTATGACGTGACGACTGGTTGGAGGTTTGTCGTGTTTTCTCGCATTTAGTTGCATCATCAAGGAAAACAAATATATTTAGATTCACGGGATAAAAACTATGCTAGAATCAACCTCTATCTCATTTTTGAAAGAAGAGTTTCAGCTTCCCCTTAAGCGCCTACCGCCTCCAAAGCGCCAGCATCAGTCGAAAATATTCACCTTGTTGCGGCGGCCACAAGACCACCAGCGGCAATGACTGGATATTATGTAAAAATAAATGTGCTTTCTTTGATTCCATTCCCCCTGCCTTCAAAACTCTTTATTGGCTGCCATCTTGGTTTTTACCAATTTGACGAGACAAGTGCCCACATTTAGATTAACCCAGTTTTCAGTGAAAGTGGAGCGGGCACTTCCCCAGTATTTTACGGTAGTAAAAAGAAAAAAAAAATGTTGACAAAACATTGCAAGAGCACGTGTCCACGAAACATTGCAGTGTTGATGAAACCTGTGTCCATGAAACGTTCACGAAACATGTTTTCATAAAACATGGTTTGACAAAACGATAAGGATCCGTGAAGTTTGGTGAAAAACATGCTACAAACGAATGCTTATGCCAAAGAACGATAATTGCTGGAAGAGCAACCGAGAGGTTCACGCACACAAATACAATTTGGATTGTATCGACAAGCAGACTTTCAAGAGCCCTGTTGGTAACAGCTCTCCCTTGTTCGTTCCAGGATTCAAGAAGGGTGCAGATCCAGGAATGCCAGAGATCAATGTGCTCAGGTTAGCTTGGAGTCTACTTTTTAACATAATGTAAAAACATGTTCATATGTGGAAACCCCATTAATTTTCATACAGTTTTGTTACTTCATTGTGGATGCAGGCTCTCATTTTGTTTCAGTGTTTCAATGTTTGCAGTGCAAAGAATAAAGCCTTTCACTTCAAATATGAAGAGTGGAATATAAAAAAAGGGGGATATGCTGATGGACAAGCAAAGTTATCTTGTCTTTCTGTCCTTTTAAATTAACTTCTCACTCCTTGCATTCAGAGATGCAAATCTGGTGATGTAAGAACATTATTTAGAAGAAAGTCCTAATAAAAAAGCTCCGGCAAAGGTACACTATTTCTGCTAACCACTTGGTTATAGAATATTCTTGCTCCAGACGGTGTGCAACTATTTTTCCTGTTTGCAGTTTGAGGGTGTGGAGAATGTTTCCCAAACCATAACAGCTTTAAGAATGCAAGGTGAAAAGCTACTAGTAGTTTACTTGCACCGAAGTAACTTGGAATTGCTAAATGAGCTTATAAAAGTGAATGCACAGTCCATTTGGAAGTTTAGCAAGATATCTTCCTCGAAACGCTCCAACATCATAAATTACAAGACAGTCAGCTGTGAAATGTCTTTACTTTTTATAATAGAGCAATCTTGCAAGTTGAACGCATTGACTTTAAAGAATTGTACAGTACTTCCGGGTGAAGATTACTCTCAATTAAAAATAGAAAACATAAAAATGAGCTGGGTGTCTTCGGTGTTTCATCCAAGCTCCTCGTCCTTGTTTTGACTGTGCTTTTCGGCATCTATTCTTCAGCAAAGACCGGAATGAAACGACTATATTTGTCCAAAAATGCTAGAGCTCGGAACTCTTTGTTCTCAACTGTGTGCACTACATTACCTTTGAGCAGTCTGGGATGCCTTACTTCAGAATGTTTATCACTTTGTTTTTCAGCTTGCTTTGGCAGTGAAGTGTCCTGGGTGTCTAAAAATCACCTCTCACCTTACCAGTCACCAGCACGCTTCGAGTAGCAAGGACAAGACATGCGAATCGCCCCCCGCGCACCTCGGAATTATCCCACAGCGGCTATGCTGTAAATTGTAGTGCTTCACAGGTTTTCTGGAGGTTTCCATGGGAATGAGTTGTCTAATGGGAGAGGTTGCTGGGTTTTCCTGGAAGTGTTAGAATCCTTGGTCACTCGTGCTACTTTCATCTCCGTTCACTGTTTGTCGACATCCGTCATCTCCCAGTTTGCCCCAGAACCTGTCTTGAAATGTAAAATTTTCTTAGGAAAGAATAAAAATAGCTTACACTAAACATCCCAAAGGGAGCTCAGTGGAGTTATTTTAACACCTTGGGCCTGCAGCACACCTAGTGGTGTCCTTTTTTTCCCTCGTAAAACAGCTTTTTTTTCTTTGGATTTTAATCTCTAGCATGGTTGATGAAAAAACAATTTAAATGCTAGGAGTAAATTTTTTTAAGTTAACATTATAATGAGCAGGCTACAGAGAGAGAGACATAGAAAATGGACGTAGTGGAGAGGTTGACAAGCAGGCTACAGACATTAAACAAAACTATGCAATTTTGATCAAGGCTTACCGTGCACTGATGCAACTGCAGTTGTAATAAATTTTTGATAAAAGAAGCATTCCACATCATCGGGGCAAGTGGATTTGACTATGTCAGCTTGGGCAGAATGCAAAAAGCTTCGAGTGTACAGTATATGTAGAGGGTGTACAAAATGGAGAAATATAAACGCACCACTCGGCACAAGCCATTGAGTATAGTTGTATTTACTTTTATTGTCTCTAGCATTAAGTACAGGTACCATCCTTTGAGTGGTGAGCAGTAACAGTTCCTTGTTGTCATCTAACAATAAGAATAGAAAGCTCAGTCGATGCACAACAACATCCAAGGCGGGCTTGGCAGCACACAAGTGTGGTGTCGTTTGGCAGAAAACACTGTTGCGTGAAAGTGCACTTGAAAAAACAGCAGCGCCAAACTAAGTAGGACATCTCATGTGCAAGCACATTTTGACTCGTATTCAGGGCATGAGGCATGCTGTCTCGGAGGTTTTGTCGTCATGCGTGCGGTGATGGTTGAAAATATGGATATTTTGGGTGAGGCACAGTTAAAAAAATGCTTTAAATGTGTACAAACACAGGGGTGAGGCAAAATATGCAAGCACATTTAAGCACACGGTAACTTGCTTTTAGCTCATGATTCAAATGTTGCATCATGAGGAGGCCTTACATCTTTCTTGCGGTGGGTGTGGCTGTCCCTAGAGAAAAGTTTTTGGCACATATCATTTCGGAGCACGATTGGTCTCTTTGTGAATGTCTATGCAAAACAATAAATCACTTTGGGAGTTTTTTTGTTTTTTTTTCTCCTCTCCAAGATGGCAAAAAGTGAGCTGCAAGTGTCCCGTCTACCAACCGTCAAATTTACAAGCTCGTAACAACAATGATGTGTTCTTAATGGCATCATCCTATAAAATGTATAAGGGAGCCACCTGATCTGAAGCAACAAGTGTAAGTAGCTCGGTAGAATGGCCGGTGATACGCGTTTAAAGAGTGAGGAAAGTTGAATGAAACTGAGCAAAACACAGGCAGATTTAATTGAGACGGCACCTCACGTTAAAGGGACACTGACCTCCCCCCACCACAAAAAAAAAAAAAAAAAAAACCAATTTTTTTTTTGCCAGACGGTTTATTATGGTGTTCGAAGACTACCTAATCAATGTTTCGCTCAGCGTCAAGTATTTTTTAATAAATTAAAAAAACACAACCGCTCTGAAACTGAAACTGGACTGGGGGGGCAGAAGAAATAGAGAGGATGAAAAAGATTTGGCAGAAGTCACGTGGCTGTGATACATTTGTTTCCCAATCAGCATATTTGCAACATTTTGGAAGCCACAAAAAATGGGTATCGTATTTCTTTTCTATTTTCAATATTGAGCGTGTGCCTTCGATGACCCACGACTTTGATTATACTTGTTGGTTGTCTCTAAACCGTAGAAAACGGCACATGACCACAGAGAAGAAAGTGAGCGCGACTCAAACTGGCCAGTTCTCGATCGGCAGTTTTCGGGCAAAACGAAAACGAATTTCGAGCCGCAAATTGTGTACTGGGCAGTTGGGCTCTTGTACGTCACGTACAAATAAAAACCTTGGTGAGCATAAATGCCCTGCCAGTGTCCCTCTAACGAGGTTCGCATCACCTAGGGTGGCCGTCTACTCGAGCTAAACCGTACCCAAAAAGGCAGGTTGGACAACTTGAACTAGGAAAGGGTACTCTTAGCGTGATAGTCGTTAAACATTGTTCTGTATACATGCTATGTACAAGAGTGATTTGGTGTGGGAAATGGGGGCGGGGACGCTACATTGTTGCAACGCCGGGGTTTCAAAGCACTTGCGGAAGTCGCTGCGAAGGCAGAGCTGATCTCTTGTCTTGCGGTCTCGGGACTTGGTGGGCGACAACCTTATTGCAAGGACAGGACTGACTAGACGGCCCTGCGAGAAAGACTTCTCGGACGGTCGTACAGAACGCTGCTGCCGTAGTGCGTGCTCGGTGTCCGCTTGATCCTGCGCTAGCGGAACAAGGTAAGAACGCGTGGAGGAACAAGCACGCACCGTGGTTGGACCCTCGACAGACAAACGTAAACAAGGCCAGCGTCATACAAAAGATAATGAGACACGTAAATAGCAACGAAAATGACCAATCCTCGACTGTGTCAACTCTAGCTGGCTTCCCACCCAAGAAGCACAAGGTTTCAACAATTACGAGCTTTGCCTCATGCATCATATGAGAACACAATGTTTTCTCGTACGATGCTGAAGGGTGATACAGACAAGGGAGCATGTACGATCGGTCACACCAAAATGCTTCTTGGGCTAGCCCATGAGGGCGTTAATAAGTGCCGCTTGCACTGTTTTGTGAAACTAGGAGACAATCTTGATGACTATGTTTAACTGAAAGGTGTAGTCTCGACGTTGTAAGTGGTTGGGCAGCACAGTGAGGCGCAGAGTTTGGGCCAACAATAATGCAACCTAAGGTACACCCGCAGACACTATCGGCTTGAAGAGACCAGCTAGACCCCATACCATACCAACTTTTGCAGCAGTCTTTGGTCAGATCAGATTTTGGCTAGACCAAGAAGTGTAGACCTTGGCTTTTATGCTCAGTGACAAATTTAGGCACAGCATAAGCTCCTGAAAATACTCCGTGATATGGGTTCTTTTTCCATCGCGTTTCCTAAGTATGATTGGCCCTCGAATGGTGCTGCTGTACCTCGGAGATTCTGGGAGGCATGCATTCCGAGCTGAATTGATATCTGCAACACAAAGTCTACTTAAGCCACAAGCTAAGCCTCTAGCCCGGACAGCTTGACTGTGTGGCTTGCTTCTGCAATATCTACCTTATATACTTGGGTGACAGTTTGACCAAGCACCCCAACATTACTTTAGGCGCTATAGATGGAAGCGGCTTAGCGACATGCAGCGCTGGCATAAAAAGCCACCTAGTGCTAACACCGAGTTTTGTACAGGTGCTTATGCCTTGTAGCTAACTCCAGCCGTGCCGGACAGTATGCTGAGATTTGTCCTCTTCCGCTCGACTCGTTCGGTTGTCGTTCTTAACTCTCTTGTCACGTCTCGTCCCCATCTTGGTCCTAGTACAACCGTAAACAAACTACACTCGACAACTCTGGCCAACCCTGGTGGAACGCTGGCAATTGTTTCAAAAAGACGGAGCATTGCATGACTGAAGTGTTAGGGACATCCTCCGCTCCAAAGGATCACGCGAGCAGGTCACTGTCGTCCTCGTCGCTCACGCACTGGCCGAAGTTCCTCGCAATGCGGTCGGTGAGCGACCTCAGGTCCTCCGTGCCCCCTCCCACCAGGCTGGCCTTGATGCCCCCAAAGTTGTCGTACTCCGAGTCGTATGCGGCACTCAGGGAGTCAATGCTGAGCAGACGACTGCTCGCACGCGAGGACACGCTGGTGTCGTCAACGTCTCCGTCGTGGCCCGCGTCATTGAGTACGGAGTTAAGGTCGCTCAGTGCCCCCTCGGCGTCTGTGAGTCCGTGGTCGTTGGCGAGCGAAGCGTCGTCCGTCGTGTAACCACCCCTGTCTTCCATCAGGGGCGCGCCTTCGTCCTCCTCGCTGTCGGACGCCTCCTCTTCGTCCGACGTCTTCCCATAGTCGGCCGGGTAGCGACTGAGAAGTTGGCGAACCACGGCGCTCCTCTGCTGGCTTGCGGGCTCCTCTTGCCGGTGGCGTCGCTTGGCGGCTGGACTCCCGTCCAGCGGGGTCAGCTCGAAGCTGTTTTCGGGGGCGGCGTCGAGTCGAAGCGCCACGCCGTTCCCAGACTGCCTGCCAAAGGGCGTCTCCTGGAGGCACATGAGGAAGCTGCCGCTAGCACCGTTGTTGTTTGCAATGTCCTTCCCCAGCTGCATCAACACCTGGTTCGCATTGTGCGTTCGATCGGGGGGTCGGGTCCTCTGGGCTTCGACGTCTTGCAACTTCCTTTCTGGAGGCGACGGCCGAGCTGGCACCGCGGGCTTGTCGAAACGCGCGAGTTCGACAGGACAGGAGTACTCGTTCTGCCCCAGTCCTCCCAGCGCTGGCTCTCGGCTCAAACTGCGGTGGTGTTTCCGAGGCAGCTCTTCGGGCGAGACAACGGTGGGTGATGCGACCTTGCGGCAACGCTTCCGTGAGCCGGATGAGGTTCCGTAACGCGGCGGCGGATCCCCTTCCATTTGCCGAGATGCGCCATGCTTCGGAAGGGACGCGTCCGAGGCTGATCCGGATCGCTGTCTGCGGTCGACGAACCCCGGAGAAGAGTTTTGTTTGTGGGAAGGGGAGCGTCCAACTTGCGGGAAGTCGTCCCCATTGGTCAAAGGGTCGTTCGGTCTCTGTGACTTGCGGTCGCAGGGCAGCTGGGGATAGACCCACGGCCCTGGCGACATGGCCGAACTCTCGAACCCCGGGGACGGAAGGTCGACCCGCTCGAAGCTGCCGCAAGAGGATGACGACGAGCGGTTGATGGAGGACGTCTCGGCGTGTTCGACGACGCTGCTGTCGCTCCAGTCGTGCGTCTCCGCCTGGACCGGACGGAAGCTCTGCTGGGTCCTCTGGGAGTCCGTGGTGTCGAAAGGGTGGCTCGACGGTGGCGGAGGGGGCACCAGTTCCCCGATCTGCTTGAGGCTCTCCCAGGGGTCTCCGCGCCCGAGCGACCTCGGCTTGGAGCTCGCACTGCCCGTCGGGTTGCGCTGGTCGGCCCTCGTCCTCGTCCTGGACCCCGAGGAGCTCTTGCGGGGCGGCGTGTTGGACACGATGATGGGCTTGGGTTGGGTGTACGGGTGCGGGTCGTCGTCGGTGTCCGAGGGCGGCGGTTGCAGGGGCACCGTCCGGTTGCGCGATTTGGGGGTTGAGGATCCCCCCCTCTGCTGGGGCAGGTTGCCAACAAACGTGAGCGCCGTCGGCACTCCGCCGTGGACGGCCCCCTGCTGCCCGACGCCGTTGGGCTGCGTCGGGTTGGCACCGGTGCCGGCATGTGCCTGGTGGTGCTGGCCGCAGCCGGGTGCCGCCTTGCGGTCGACCAGGAAGTAGGTCGTCATCTCGCCCTTGCCCTTGACCTTGACCTTGCCACGACACTGGAACACGTAGGGCCCATCCCGAAGCAGCTGGTACACCTCTTCTGTGACCTGCGAGGGATTTTGCGGGTTACGAAAAATTCGTTACGCCCGCTCAGGTGTATTGAACTGGTTTATGGCATCGGTGTATACTCCGCTCGCTCCTAAATTGATGGGGCGGTGGGAGTTACGAGTTTGCCGTATGAATCAACCGCCTCTCTTTCATCCCCTGACCTTGCTCTCTGCACACAGGCTGGAGCGACAGCATGTTCACGTGGCGAAATATTGACGTACGACTGGTCCAATTAGCTCGATCGTAGCTTAATTCCACTGCAATGTCGGCTTAAAGGTGAACTGAGTACAGCAGTGATTGAGGAAGTTGAGAATTCTTAATAGATTTGCGGTTGGAAAAGAAGATGCTCACTTGAGTATGGTTGGGGAGGCCCGTGGAATCCATGCGACTGGACACATTGACCGTGTTGCCCCAGATGTCGTACTGCGGCTTCCGTGCTCCAATGACCCCTGCCACTACGGGCCCTATGTTGAGACCTGCACATACACGTTGCAGCGATGAGCTTGCCGTAATATCCAGTCATCGCCCACCCCCCCTGTTGCCTGAAATTCATAAAAAATGAGAGGCGCTATCAAGAGGCTCTGGTGCAGCGTCAGACTTGGCTACTGCGCAACGGAGGCGCACAGCCAGGCACGCGGCGGCGCCAGAGCGTCTGCCGCAGCTATGACGTCACTCCTCTGGAATGCGCAGACCGGCGAGGCGCGCGCGGTGGCGGCGGCTCTGGCGCGCCAGCTGTGCGCCGTGTTACGTCACTGCTCCTCGCGCATGCGCTGCACGGCTCTCCAGGAGCCACGCGAAACTGCTCAACCTCGGCCAGTGTAGTTCACGCTACAAAAAAAGTGGGGTGGGCCATGTCTCGGGTAAGCACAAATAGTTTAGAAAAAGATAAACGGACATTTTTTTTGTACATATCTAGCGTGGCTGCACAAGAGATACATTAAACTTGAAACTCAAATTAGTTTCATTGTTTTATGCAAGAAATGCTCGCGAAAGGATGTTCGCAAAGTGTGTTGCTTGAAGATCGCCGATCAGCAACAGCGCAAACGTTTGTTCCGCAAAAGCATGTTCCTAACATTGCTATGTTCTCTTCGCTAAAAAAAGAAAATCGAGAAGAAAAAAGAAGAACTAACAAGGCGCAACGAGCGAGCGGAAGAAAGGACAAGGAGTGATGCTGAAGACGCGGGAAAAGCAACGACTGCGTTGGCAAATACTTTGGCGTCGGGCCAAGTCAGGTGCCTTGTGAATCGCGAGGAGCAGGCTCTTGCGCAACCTTCTTGTTTTGTGCATACATTTGTGCGTATGTGGGCAACGTGCTATCAACGCAGGTTGAGGTGGCGTTGCTGCATGGCACAGATGGCACCACGAATACGGAGCTTGAAATGGGACGCTCCACAAACGTCTGTGTGCAGCATTCCAGCAAATCTTTATTACGCTTTGGTGGTCAAGACTTTCCGGGTGAAGGAGCGGGTTCGTGGTGACCTTACTTCGGTGGAGACGGTCTTTGACCTTACACTCCGCGGTTACATTTCAGGATAATGGGCATTCGCTGCACCTTGCGATCCCCAAATGTAGTGCTATCTGTTCGACTTCTTTTTTTTCTCTTGTTTAAACAAATTTTTTTGTAAGAAAAACAAAGTATTTTGTTTCCATCGTTTTCCTCTTGCATGCATGTCTTACGACTTTGGGGTCGCGGAAATCGGAGAGGAAACAGGTAAACAAAGAGAAGTGCCTTTCCCTCCTTCGTTTTACTTTGTCACGGACATCCTCCAACTGTAAAATCCACGGCCGCGTCATCCGGGTAGGATGAATGTTTGCAGATTGCGGAGTCCGCGTTGGGGTATTTGTTGGGGCAGGCCATAACCGTTTTCTTGGAAATCAATATTTGCCCAAAAAGTGGGGTAAGCGACGACTAGGGATATTATGGTAGATTTCTCACGGACACGATTCCACTGCACAAGGGCGCTTTACAAGACCCAGCATTTAATGGGAGGAAGGAGGGGCGCTGCACTGACCCACTCTGAGCATGAAGTTGTTGTAGGAGTTTTCGTTGATGTCGGCCAGGCAGTCTTTCATAGTGAACACCAGCTCCGCCATGGTGGTCATGTAGCTCGCTCCGGACTCGTGGTCGTCCTGAGCAAAGACCGCAAGAAACCCGCCTTATGTTGGACGCCTCTTCTCAGACCGTCGTTGGCTTGCCACAAATGTGTGTGCCCTGTTGTGATCCGGAACCGAGCTTGTACTCACCGCGATGCGTGCTTCGGGCATGAGACCAATGGCTGCCATGTAGGTGCTCCCCGTTGTCTTGATCTTGTCGATGGCCTTGAACTGTTCACCGTCCAGCAGCTGAAGAAAATTAATGTTTCAAGCATAGTTCAAAACATGCTTTTGTGCAGAAAATACGCTTTGCCATTTCAGTTGTTTGTGGCGTCGCTGCTACGTGGCACCACTAGCTAGCTATAGACAGCTTCATGTGCCCGTGCAGAGTTCCTATTTGCGCGTTGAAATAAGGACACCTCCATCACCCGCCGATTCTTTCGCATCTTTTCTTTTGGTGGCCTGTAGAGCAAACGACAGTCCTCCGTGTTTCTTACGAGTAATCTTTACATCTCAGTCACCTTCAGTATATGATTACACACCAGTCACACCAGAGGTATGCCTTGAACTTTTCAACTCTCGAGTTTACACCGGTGCATCTGGGTGCGGACACCAGCACACATAGTTCGAATTTTTGGGTTTCGAGCACTATGTGCTCGAAGCCCATAAGGCAGTAGCTTTTATAAACCCCAAAGCACACTTTTGAGGAGGAGTAACCAGAAATTTTCCATGGGGTTTGGGCTAACCGGGCCAAAAAGGGTGGGAGAGGAGGGGTAAAAGAAGGGAGGGGAAGCACAAGTAGAGGAAGGAAGGGTCGCAGAAGCAAGAGGATGAAATCATCGGGGTACTCTTCACTTTGTTTACAACCCTTCATTCAGGAGCCGACATCATTTTCTTTGAGATGCAATTGAATTTGGACTGACGAACAAGGGACTTTACCAATGCTGAATGTCAGTTTTCATTCATTCTATTCTCTACAAGGGCAGAGTATTTGAAAACACATCACTAGAAAATATTCTGCACGATAGCCAACAAGTTTCTCAAGAACTTATCGTAAAACCCCGAATGAATGTTCAACCACAGTCGAGAAATAAAAGGGGAAAACATGAGATGGGCGTTTATTGGGATTTCATGGTAGCTTCACGACACCCAAACACCTCGGCAAAACAACGAACAAATAACAAAAAAAGTTTGACTACAAATAACCAATACGTCAAGTGCCTCAAACTTATTAGGCATCAGAGATCCCAAATTACAAAAGAACACTTGGCAAGACTGTTTTTTACAGCAGCTGAAAGGAATTTTGCTGGAAGTAGGGGAGGGTCTGCAGAGAGATCTGACATCACGGACGGATGGGACTTCACGTGCGAAGCATTGCCCAGATTAATTTTTCTCACTCAATAATTGCCGTTTCACCAAAAACATAATTTTTTCCTAAAAGAAAAGCAGGTGTATGTCGTTCGTTCCATAAAAAGAAAGTCACCCTTGGGAGGCTTGGGAAAGGGGCACCTCTCTTAAATCAGCTCCTGCGTTGATGTTACCTTGAGCAAAATAAATTGCCTGTAACTATTGGCAACCTGAGGGAGCCTGCTGACCTGGTCAAACTCTGCGATTATCTCGTTGAGCAGGCGGAGGCACTCCACGCCCTGGTTGTTGCCGTCCAGTTCCATGTAGAACTCGTGGAAGTTTGGGATGGAGGCAAACATGACGCCCACCCGGCTGTACGACTGGTGGTACAGCTCCTGCAGCCAGGGACAAGAACAGTCGGTGCATTGCTCCTACATAGCGTGGCACCATTAGTGCAAACAAACGATTGCTGGTTTTCTCATGGTTTCTTCTCAAAATTGAAAGGCTATCCTAAAACCTATTACTGCGGTGGGAAGTGCTCGCTTGGGTAACTAACATAAATGGTTAGATTGAATCTCTGCCAATATCCTTTCAAAATAAAATGTGAAAAAAAAAAAGAAGCCGATGTCGCATTTACATTAACAGTGCCGTGCAAAATAATAATAATGAAAATAAACAAACCATCAACACCAGACCCTATTTATATGAAAGATACAGTACATACTGAATAGTATGGGGTGTTTGGGAGAAAAGGCAACTGGGTTTTTCTCACCTCAAACATAAACTATGCATCACCCTGCGCCCTCCATCCAAATGTAGCTCTAGTGGTTGAGGCCAGCAGCCAGACTTTCAGAACTCACCAATATCTAATTAAAAAAGGTGCGACTTTTGGAAACAATTTTATGAGGAAATGGTGAACAAGGGAGCCAGAGAACACATGGAGATGAATGAAAGGCCAACTCTGGTTACCGGCAATGCACCCTATTTTCTCATTGAACGTTTCCGAAAATGGCTAATAACTTTTGAATTAGGTAAGGGCTAGTTTTGAAACTTCGACATCTTCTCCGGACTCCTAACACCACATTTTGGTCAGACACCGTGAGTACAGCGATGCACAGTTTATTTTTGTGTCGAGAAAAACATGGTTCTCTTTTCTCCCAAAACCCGGCGCAGATAGACAACAGCTGCCTATACATTTTTAGGCTAACCAATCTCGGGGAAGGATCCGACCAAAAACTGACAACACAGATTCTGAGTGGGTTCACTGAAGCCCAAGAAGGAAGGAATCGGTGCGCACCATGTTGTTGCGAAACTGGTTGTCGAGGAAGTGTGTGGCAACGTGTGCGGGCAACAGGTTGAACAGGATCCTGCGGTTGCTGCTCTCCAGGTCATGCATCTCACGCTTCTCTTCGTTTGCCTGTCGCCCAGACAAGGGGAGAGACCGGGTGATTGTATGGTATTCTACACCCAGTTCGCACACATCGTCACATTCCAGAGATGTTTATTAAATGCGATGGCATTTTTTTGCAGCCCCCCCCCCGGAACAATTCTGCTACGTAACACGAAATGCATGCATGGGAAAGTGATAAATAAACAAAATGACGAGAACAAAAAAAAATTCTGAACATCTCCTGAGGAGGATTGAACCCATGAACCCCAAGATTTTAAGCCAGACTCTTGAACACTTTGGCAAAGGAGAGACTTGTAAGGCAATAGTTGTTACGTGGTACTCCTCTCTCATCATGTGCATGCGTGGGATGCAAAACGAGGCCCTCGCTGGATGTGCCACAGTCTTCACAATGCCTCGCAAGAGAAAGGAGTAGGCTGAGGAGGGGCTGAACTGAAGTGGCAACACACCGAGTATGACCATCTTGACCATACTGAATTGCTACAACACAGGGTTTGTGGCACTGTAATCGGTGTAATATAGTCTTCACGGAAGTCAAGCAAAGCTATTGCATTTTGATGGAGTCTGCAGCGAAGCTGGCAGAAACACAGGCCCGTTTTTGTTGTTATTAATTTCCATTTGATGACTCGGAAGATGTCGACTAAAAAGGTAGCCCAGTATGGGGGTGGGGGGTTGCAAATTGAAAATCGAAAACAATAGCCAGGCAACAAATACAGCTGAGGAGAGAGGATAATAGTCCTACAGGTTATGGAATGGACTACTACTATCTTTTAATGATTTCTTTCACATATTTATATATATTACTTGTTTTTACCTCAAGAAACAAAGTTAAAAATGTTCGGTACTTCACGGAGCTCACAAAGCACAAACTAGTTTTACACTTTATGTAGTGAATTAAGATACTTGTGTGGGCATTTAAGATCAGCTGTCTGTTATTTTATAGAAATGTACACGTTCAAATGCAAAAATAATTGTTTTAGAGCGCAGCTTTTAGGCGCCTGTTTCCGGCTTGAGTGGCGTCGTTGTCGACATGACCACTCGTTGCATTATGAGATGTTTTCCGTAATGACGTCACGTGTGACGTCATTATGGGAAATGATGTCGCACGTCATTATGGAAACGTAGATGACGTCACGTGTGACCAGAGTGTCGAACCGATATTTTTATCGGTTCGGTTCGGGTTCGGGTTCACGGCTTTCGATTCAGTTCCGGTTCAGTTCCGGGGCGCAAAAATAACGGTTCAAACCGGTTCGAACCGGTTCGAACCGGTTTGAACCGCTAAATTGAGAATATATTTTCTGCGTTGTTCTGTCAATAGGCACTATTTAGGCCATGAAACTAACTGCTGTAAACAATCTGATTTTTGCGAGGACCTATTTTTGAGAATTTCGCGAATCGCCTACAATTCGCGAAAAATGGGTCCCGCGAACAATTTCGGTAAAATGTAAACAGATTGAAATTTATAGTGAGATTCCACCGCGTCGAGAAAATTACAACCCACGAATTATTCCAAAACTTCAGCTTTGACCTAAATCGCGAAATATTGAGCCCACGAAAAATAAGTCGTTTACAGTATATAGTTTTCTTTTCTTTATCGTTTGTTCGATCCAGTTTTATTTTCAGGTACAAAAATTATAAAATTCTGTTACTTATACCTACACAACAAGAAAGGAAAATCTCCATTAACATACCAAACGTCGTGTTTATACGACTCAACCTCCCTTCGTTTACCAGAGTCACATACATTGTACCTGAATCAAAATGTTTTCGCGAAGTGAAGTAGGTTGCCTAAAATACCCGTGACAGGCACAACTTTGTATCGCAGTATTAGATGTTGAATCGTGGTTTTGCCCTTGAACTAAGAAATTAATTACAGTGAATAAAATCATGAAATGGGTACCTCGCCGCCATATATACCATAAAATGTGTTTTACGGAATACGTTTCACAATATATATATGACGACGAGACGACTGATCTTAAGGCAATATAATTTTAAAAATGTCACGAAAGTCACGGGACAAGTCCTTCCACTCTATATTTTATAAAAACACTAAGCGTCAATCGCAATGCTTGTTTTTTCTAACTAGCATTGTTTGCTCTCAGCACCATGATGCGGGCGACGAATCATGCGAAAAGGAGTGGCTGAAATTGTTCACTCTAACCTATGAGCACCTTCGTACTGAGATCGAATCTGACCTAAAACAGTGCTTACCCATGTGAACATTTTCTATATTGGATAAACTGGCATAGCCTGGTTCTGAGGTTTGCTCTTGACAAAATGCCGGTCAATTTAATTTGCAAATAAGCATCACCCTCTCTAATTGATGATTTTTGTCAAATAGAACAAAGTGGGATTTCATGCTCTACTCAATTCGGAAGCTACTTAATTGGACACTTTCTGAGAATTTAAGTGTGCAATCGTCATAGTTCCACCATTCGTTCCAGTAAAAAAAGGCGATAATAAAAACACTTAAAAAACGCAATAATAAACTTCTATATATTTGAGAAGTTATATATGCGTGAGGAACACATACAGTTATTTAAATTAGCTTCAAAATAAAAAAAAAACACTATTTAAAGCTTTTCCAAATCACCTATAACGTGTCTATAGAGGATAAAAGCGCCGAAAAAGATTTGCAGAACATCTTTCAGATAATTTAAAGGTGCATTTACTTATATGTCTTTGAGGTGTGGATCTTCTATTTATGCTGCCAAATCTTCAGACAGGAATAAAGTATATTTGTATTATCATCGATAAATTTGACTTTATGAAGTTCACATAACCGCCTGAGACCGACACGGAAGGACGATACTCGAAAATACGCCAGCTGTTGAGTCTTCGGCAACGTGCTTTTGTTAGCTGTTTTGCAGTGTAAAATACTGGGTTGCAGGGTATGCCAAAAAACACTGTGGTCCATGATATATCGCAAGGCAAATACACGAAATGTGCAGAAATGAGGAGATGACACGCAATTTTTTCTAAATAATCCCTTACACAACGCTTTACTGCAAAGAGAGATGCATAGAAATGCATAAAATGATATTCCTAATTAAACATAGATTCCTCGCAGGGCAAATGAAGATTTTTAGAATCCTAATATAAGACACGTTTGGGCATCAGCTTGCCTCAGCTCGAAACGTCGCGAGATACTACTAATGTTATCTTAGGTTTTACGCGCACTTGTTTTGGGACCTTACTTCACGACTGTTCTTTATCAGTCATGTGCTGCAACATTTCATTAGGCTGCCGTATATCATCGCGAGACTGCTATAAATACTACACAACTTTACACCTTGGACGTCTACTGCTAGTGTTGCGAACGTCGCACTTCACCAGAAAGTTGAAGTATTTAACATGGTTTGCACGTGACGTAATCGCACTAGATACTGGTTGTCATTGCGAGTTGTTCTTGCTGAGAATATCAAATCCGATGGGGCAAAATGCACGCTGCAAACTTTTCGCGCTCAGTGCAAGCTATGTATTTGAGAGGCACACATTTTTCTTGTTGGTGCATCGTCGTTAGACACGGCGCGAGTATCTGGCGCGGCGAAAACGTTCTTTCTGGCAAGAGTGTTTTTACAAATAAAAGTTGTACCAACTACCCATCTGTCACTATCGTTTCCAGGTCACGCTTTCTATAGTCTGCGCCGAAAGTGCGGGGTAGAGGAATCTTTACGACACAGTATGCTTTAAAACTACCCCCTACCCACTCCCTTCTTTTTTAGTTGCTCTTCGAGATACTTTTTATTCCTCAGGGATTGCCTGCTCCGTATTGAGTGGTGTTCACTCGACAATTATATTTGTGTCACTCGTTAACAGTAATTCTTCCTTGCTTTTACTTTGCACCAAACTGTGAAGGTTAAACAAAATACAGGGCGGTCAAAACTTGGAGAACTTGAGAACGGCACTCCTGTGAGACTTAGAGCAGCTGCCAACGTTTGGCTATCCCCGTGAGACCGCTAGGATCTTTCTTTTCAGGTGTCCCTGACGTACACACTAATAGTTCCATGTAACGTCGGACTAATACGTCACATTTAGACGCTTTAACACTTCTATTCTCGGTACAACTTTCTGAGGCAGTTCAGCAATAACGAAAACATGTTTGGGAGCCTCAATGGTGTGCATACATGTAAAATGGGCCGTGCAGCATTTTTTTTACCTTCAGTTCAATAAATACCGCTAAGTTGTAATCCCTGACGTTGATAACTTGCAAAAGCATCCATTAGTTTGTTCCTCCGAGAAATGGGAGACAGTCGAAAGAAAGAAATGAAACAGCTTTCCCCTCCTCAACTCGCAATTAGAACTATCAGCCACGTGATCTGATCCCAATATATGCAGCGTCAGTGTTTATCATAGTCATAAGCAGGGTTGGCAAAGCGAAGCATGGGCTAATCTTCAGATATAGTTTTAGTTGGGCTATAATGGGGCCCGAGCCCCACTAAAGCGACAAACAGAAACAAACGACAGCGGCTAGCCTTAAACCAGAGTATTTCGCGATTTGACAGGCTTTGTAGAATAAAGAAGGCTATGCTCAAACACGAGTGTCATGAACACGATGGTACCATTTGCAGGCTCGTAAACACTCGTGCTAACTTCGCGAGCACCGAACAACTCAAAGCCGTATAAAGGTACCATCGCGAACATGCTGCATGTGTCTGAGGCTTGTCGCTTTTGCTTGCTTCTGCTTCTAGCTCTAGTGGGACTCGGGCCCATCATAATCTTTGAGTTGAACAGGAAGGAGCCGTTACCCGAATGTTTGGCGATACTGGTTGTCATGAACCAGAGCATTTGACTCGGGATCATGACAATCGGGTACATCATGGTGTCACGGGACTCTCAGTGCGAAGTTGTGGTGTCGTGTGACGTCACGGTATCAACAACGTTAGTAGATCTAGCGACGTCCTCAATTTGAATCGACTTTACGCGGTGAGTCACGTGACGTCACGGGGTCACGTGATGTGACATTACTTGACAGCATGTCTTGACATTAGGACGTCACGTGACGATGTGACACATGGCTATTCATAGTGCCAATAAGAAAGCGCCGCAAAAAAACAGGATTTATTATACATTGGAATTCTGTATATGACGAGCTGATCAATACTTAGAGGAATTCACGTGCCAATTTTGTATTCCCAAATAATAAATTTGTACTACTAACAAAAAAAATTACCGTGAACCGTTTTGAACCGGTTACCGTTATAATTTTTCCGGTTCCGTTCCGGTTCAGTTCCAAGATGGCGGCAAAGATTTCGGTTCGGTTCAGTTCCGGTTCGGCTAAAAATAAAGGTTCTGTTCCGGTTTTCGGTTCGGTTCGGTTCCGGTTCGACACCCTGCGTGTGACGTCATCTACGTCATGAAGGTCCCAATTTTCAGAGTGAAGGTCATGACCTTCACTCGTGAAGGTCTTGACCTTCACAAGTGACCTCACAAGGACGGAGGGAGGGAAGGGGAGCGGGAGGGGAGGAGGAGAATGTACGAAGAAGGAGGAGGGGCATACCCACCTCTCCGTACCCTCTCCTCCTCCTCCTCAAGAGGTGCACTCTAATTCGGCACTAAGGGGAATTGTAAATGTCTTTAATGTTTTTTAATCTTTAAAACCAAATCTTGTAAGAACTATTTTGCACATTCAGCTGAAGATTCATTTAGGTTCCAATTGGAATTTTCCCATTTGGTAGCGATTAGGTCTTCACAGAAGTGCCAATGGGAACATGGGAACCACTTGGAACCCATTCAGGTTCAAAATAATTCCAACTGGAGAGATCAATAGGCTATATGCGAAATGTAGAGGGCCATCTAGTAGCACGCCGAGAACTATGTCCGCCATCTTGTTATAGGCGAGAAAACGAAACCAAAGACCCGACCGGCAAAGACCCCATGTAAACAAGCGACCACGCTTCGTGCAAGAGATGCGATGCCAACGATTGCTGCGTTCCGCTGCGGATGCAACGATAAACCTTTGATTTGTGCATGACGCGAACGCAAACGTAAACAGGGTTCACTTTTTTCTTTATTTTTATTTGTTACTTGAAAGGCAGCTTTTGACAAAAACAATCGGTACGACAACGCGAAGAAACATGCGGATGTTATCGTGCGGCGTAAAGTCATTTAAAGCCACTGAACTGGGCCCTAATCTTTTCACGAAGTTATACCAAATTTGTTTAGGACCTTCTTTTTTCTTTTATGTGCGTTGTAGTATCGGCCTGGCCTTTTTCTTGATGCGCACGCAGCTTAAAGCGCCACCAACCATAATTGAAGATGCGCATGGTTAACAGTAGTATGGTTACGTTCATCGCAGTGGCTAAAACTTGAATGTCGGTGGTGGCAAAAACTTATGTTGCGGACGTTGAATGAAGCAACACGGGCGATGCCAACTTCATTTTACAGCCTACTTCTTTTTTTTTTTCTTTTTGTCGCAGCCGAGGTAGAAATTTTGTTTTGTGCAAAGAAGCTCGGGGGTAGTTTTGAGAAAGTCACTGCAGTTATTCTGCCAGGGTTGAACAAATCTTCATTATTAGCGCAACATCTGTCAACTGTGCTTGAGGTCAATGCTATCTGACACCAATTTTAGCCCTTTGCAACGCTTGAAAAGTATTGCCCAGGGCAGTTTCTTTTAGAAGAACACAGAGTGTTCCACCAAAAAACCCTCTGCCAGTAACAACTAAAAAAAAAAAACTAATTTTGGGTCATGTATTTGCTTGGAGCAGTATACCGCTAAACAGTACGACTTCAAGCGTATTCGCATCGAGAAAAGAATTAAAAATGTTCTCAAACATGAACGGGCACGACGGCTCAGTCCTTTCGAAGGCCTGCGCACCTGCAGGCGACAACAAGCTTCCACAGCGAAGGCGAAAACTTGGACCGCTGCTTCGACGAGGTTATCGCCAGTGTGCGCAGGCCTTTGAGAGTTTTTTCAGACAGTTGCGGTGGGTTGTCTAAACTGTTCGTCCGCATAATGTGGTCAGAAGGCAGAAAACTGTTGCTGCACCATCGCACAATGCCCGTACGGCTGACTCCGATGCCTCCACCGTGCTTCGGTACCGACAACGCTTGCCAACATTAAAATGGTGACGCTCTCAGTGTTGTCAGACCACAAAGCAATTTCGCATAAGGCCTACTGACCAGTGTGCTTCCAGTTGGAACCTACTAAACCCAGTCAAAATTCCAATTTAAACCAGTTGGAATTTCAATTAAATCTAATCGGTGTAGAAACTATGCGCAAAACTAGGTTTTTCTTGAGGTGACAATGGGTATAGCATCCACCAACGTTATTAAACCACTCAGTTGGGAAACTGCCATAGAGACTGCTTTGAAAAAGTGGCCCCGATTTCTCCTCGAACACCGAGCTAATGACGAACACAACGTCACCATTTACTGCTATTTTGGCTTTAATCGGCCATTATGGCGCATTTTGGCTTTAATCGGCCATTATGGCGCATTTTGGCTTTAATCGGCCATTATGGCGCCGAAACAGATACAGTGGAAGAGGTTAGAGGGGTGCCACCCCCGTCTCCCCAGCGGATGTGCCGCGTCGTACTACCGAAGTTAAAATGCACCTAGGTCGGGACGCGCTACCTGAAATCACCGCTGAGGTATGGTTGTATAAAAACAATATTAATTGTTCCGCCAAACCTTGCAAACTAAAGATTTTAGAAAACATCACACGCCCTTCATTTTGTACTAAACTCCAATAAATTTCATACAAAAAGAGTCTTTTCGGTTTGTTTTTTTGCAAAAACATGCTTTCTAAAAGCTCAAGATGACCACAGTACAGACAAATGACAAAGAGTGGCGCTGTTGTCGTTTTTAGCTTGGTCTTGGTGGACGCCACCGGCCCAGGTTTCGACGGCGAGTTTCCCAACTGAGTGTTTTAGTAACGTTGGCGTCCACGGAATGGTACAGTAGCTCATTTGCAACTGAAGTATTAGACGCTGGCTATTATACTCTGCGTCACTAGCTATGGGCAGTGTAGGTGAAGGCAATGCGAGGTTTTTCTCTTTCTACCCAGCCTTGCCCATCCTCCCTTTGCCTGTATTGCCTGCAACTACTGACACAGAGTACAGCCGTAACCTAACAGTATAAGTACTTTTACATATATGTTTTGTTATTAATCAGTGCCTCTATGGTATTCACACAGACACAAGACAGCAGTAATGTCTTTTGACCCAAAGCAGGGTAAAAAAAAATTACACTATAGTTCGTTGCAACTCAAGACGGTAAGGTGAGGGAAAGGAAAGCTGGGGAGGAGGAAGCAGATGGAACGCTGGAAAAGAAAGGGGGAAAATTTCTTTAGCGTTCCATCTGCTTTCTCCTCTTCGGCTTTCCTTTCCCTTGCCCTACCTTCTTGAGTTGCAACGGACTATAGCTTTATCACGTTGCAGGGGAGCATAACATCTGTTTTGAATGAAAATAATAATTGGGTTGTGTGTGTTTATACAGCCTAGAACTTGGTCTGCCTCACAGGGGCGACGAGTCTCCCAGCTGTAGATGAGAAATTTGGCCAGTGCGGTACAGCCGCTAGCCTGGGGTCTTTAACGTGCACCACGCAGTAGTGATACACGACCGCACGCCGGTACGATGCTCATCCAGATCGAAACGGGCAGGGGTGGGGCTCGAACCCAGGATCCCTGGGTTCTGCAGCGCGAGCTTTCGCTCCACGTGCCCCGAGCTGGTGTGCGCTAGACCACTCGGCCACCGATCCCCCTGTTTTGAATGAGCTGGGCACAAGCTATGTATGTGTGATGTCATGAGGTGAAATGACTATAATGTCACATGCCATCATGTGACAGCACAGTGTGACATGTGATGCCATAACATGATGATGTCATGAGGACATCATAATATCACCATGATGTCATGTCACAACGATAACATTGTCATGAGGACGTCATCATGACATTGTGTGCTGTCATGATGCCACAGTAATGTCATAATGATGTCACGGTGTCATGCGACATCATGGTATCAGGTGATGTCAAAGTTTGTGACAGCTCTTCGTGACGGTCTTCTTATAGAATTCGGCTGATAAAACACATTATGTGTTGAAATAATGGTGCTTAGGGGCATCTATGCTTCCCTCAGCTTTTTACAGAAATCAGAGTTGACGATCTATAAGTGAAACGGGGGTGCATCACTATAGTCACTGCTTTTACACAGCAGGGCATGGCGATCCCCGTGCATCTTATTATCGCTCCGCAGCCAATGAGATTGCTGCGTTAGCCGATAAGAATGCTGAAGAACAAATGACAAAGCATGAAGATAAGAGGGCACGCCTTGCATTTGTTAAGCTGACTGCAGCTGCCCTTTAACTCATGCTCGTGGCTGGGCGATGTCTGTGAGGCATGCAAGGAGTGGATAATCCCTCCCCCCAGTACCTGAACATTCCAGAGGAAGTCCAAACGTGCCGTCCACTCCACCTGGCGGCCGTGAATGAGCACGGCCATCAGGATGTGCACAATGCACACCACAGCCAGCACGTGCAGTGGAACGAAGGTCCTGGAAGCAAAAATGCAGTGTTTATTTATTTATTTCAATACCTTCAACGTTTAGAGGGCATAACAGAAAGGAAAGGGAAGTGAAGAGCTTAAATTTAGAGGACAAATGGAACAATTTTTCCATTTTCGGTAAATACCACTCGGAATTATTCCCCAACATTCACAACCTATGAAACGTGCATCAGATTCTTTCCTCATGCAATGGCAGTCTCAGGAAAAATCTGAGGAAAACAAGTGGCATTCACTCCCTGAGCTCGGAGCCAGAACGAAGCAGTCACGTGATCTGGAGCCAGTGGCGTAGCCAGATCCCTCTGATATATGCATGCATTTTGACCCTCCTCCCTTGCCCCCCAAGTCATGGACATCGCAGGCACCTCAAACCCCCCTCTGAATAAAATTCCTGGCTGCCAGTCTGGAGTTGATTTTATGCCATGAATGTTCATCAGAGTCACCTGCTGGAGCTGGCAAAGTGCTGAATTCCAGATTAAGGTTCATCTATTCCTGTCATCGCGGTGACTGGGCACGAGCCACTCCCCGAATGCATGCCGAGGCATTGATTGTCACGAGCCCAAACCAAATGCTAACGCGGTGTTCGTGTCCACTGAATGAGCTGCATTTAAATATTGTCACCGCAAAAATTGCGAAGCCTGCTGACAAACTCCTGGGGATCATATTGTTGACAATGCCTTTGATCTGATCCCGACAACTTTGTTATCAAGTTTTGTGAAAGAGAAACTGAAAAGAAGCATTCGCTTGTATTCTTGAAATTATGTGGCGACAAAGAAGCTTCTTGGTCGGTGACATTGCTTGCGAGTGTACTTGGGTCCCACTGTAGTGCCAATAAACTTGCGTAAAGTGAGAAACATTTCACCACGGGCCACTAACTATGTGACTGTGATCAAGCAGTTGGAAATCTGAAATATAGGCACACCAGCGGGGAGTGACGACAGAGATACAGAAAATTGGTCAAAAATACAACAGCAAAGGAACAGCAAGTGCAGCTTACTAGGAGAAAAACTAATCTTTAGTGGCAAGTTTGAAAACAAATGCATTGGTTACTGTGGCAATCGAGGTGAGAAAACCTCTTCAGAGGCTCTCAAACCTGAAGCCCTGACTTGTGTACCGACTCTTGTCATTCCAGGTTCCTTTCAAGGATTATATGCAAACTTCTTCAGCAGGGCTGGAAGAATTTCCTTACCTCTCCTTGTAACTTACCAATGGAAAGGACAAGAAGTAGCTTTTATGCAAGTTCTAGGGACAAGATAATCAACCATGGGCACAAAATTAGCATTAAGCAGACCCTGTGAAGAAGCTTTGGTACACTATTTGCTCGCAGAAATTGAGAACCCGATTTCTGCACGCAACAAGAACTGGGGAGGTTGAGGATTCAAGAAGTGCAAGTTAGCCTTTAGGCAATCCTTGTTTCTTTGTTTCATAAAATCATCCAAAATCTCATCATTACCATAGATGAAAATAATTTACAGTAGTGTCAAACTTGCTTCCCGTTATGCAGTTGCAATATAAACAACTCCTACAGTCACTTTTGTCAACTGCAGGTATCGCTGACAACTGCTTAGGAGATTGAAGTACTCTGGCTTTCATAAGTAATGGAGGAAACCTAGTGCCCTATTTCTTTTAAATGAAAGTGTGCTGAAAGTTGTTGCTGAAACCAGCAGCAATGAAGCAGCAATGAACACAAAAATGTATCCCACTGAATTTAGCAGGACGCTAAATTCCCATTAAATTTAGCTTACAATGGCACGGTACGGTGATGCAACACAAATTCTAACTTCGCTCGTATTAAAGTGCTTTCTTAATTTAAAAAACGTTCGAGCACACCTAAGCACTTCTTATGAGCTGTGAAAGCAGAAGCATGAATGTCGTTCTTCCGCTCCTTTAGTTCGTCTGCGGCATAGGGGCGTGGGCAGCCACGTTTCAGTACTGCCGAGGTAGCGGCCGACTGTCAAGCACGCTCTCGTAAGCCTCGCTGAGCTCAGCTGTTCAACCTCCTCAGAGTTTGCCCGAACAGGCTCTGTGGCCAAGTGGCCAGGCCCGCACCGCCGCACCTCGCCGGCAAGCTGCATGCACTGCGCCGTCATGGAAAGGGCTTCTCTAGTGGCTGTTTTTGGAACCATGCCATACAAGAGCCAATGGGAGCCTCGTTCCTTGATGACGCGTGCCAGCCAATGGGAGCATAATCCATCAGGGAGTTGGCTTCACTTCACTCCTTTGGGAGAGGGGAATTTAGCTGTCGTTTTGCGTGGCTTTTTGCACGGCTTCAAGGCTGGGATGCCTCAGATCGCGGCTTCATTTCGCTTTATTGGGACAGGGGTATTTAGCTGCCTTTTGGCACGGCTGATGACATCGGCTTGCTCCATGAGACAATTAATTTTCGCATTAAAAAAGTGCAGCAAAGCAATGATAAGAGTTTACATAATGTAAGTGTCTTTTTTATTCCTCTTTTTTTTGGTACAACCATTGCATTTCAATGAAACTATCTCTGGCAACTGCTGTGACACATCATACAAGCTTTACAGGTTTTAACGGGCTCGACCGTTTGTGCTTATATCGCAAATAAGACTAATATTATTATTATAAAAAAATTTAACTTGCCTCCATCATTCTGACCTCCAGGAGATCACAGAATGTGTCGTACGTTCTGTGAGCCCCCCCCCCAAAGAAAAGTGCCCCAGCATTTCATCTGCAGTGGTAGGCAACACCTATGGTATCGTATTTACTCGAGTGATAGCCACACTATTTATGAACAAGGCCCTTGCGTCTACTTTCCCATAAAGCACATATACAGCCAATCATCTCATTGAGCATGCAGAAATAGCATAGCGAATAACTAGATCGAGAACACGATTCTCCATACAAATGCAATCTTCGCAGATAATATCTTCGCATGAAGACGTTATCTCTGTCCTCCAAATCGCTAAAATCATGCTGTAAATCGCGGTGATTGGCAAGCCGCGTGCTTCGCGGAAAAGCGGACCCTCAGGTTTTCTTCATAAACAGTGCAGCTATTACTCGAGTAAATACGGTATTATAAATTTAAGGAAAGTCACATATTCGAAAATCCAAGCACCGTATTTGGTCGTGAAGTGAGGTTGGCAAATCGAAACCATTAGAGTGGCCAAGGGGTTTCCAAGGTGCTTTGCACGGCCCTACGCCACTAGGACCACTTCGATTTTGCAAGGTCTATTGCGATATTCATATACAACTTTTCCAGTGCCGATCGTGGCGGGTGACCTTGCTAAGTGTGCTTCTTACAAAACACCGGTACATCGCTGAGAAGCAACACCTGTGGAGCTCGCTTTCCTGGGTGTTGCTTTTTTGCAGTGCACCCATGCTTGGTAAAAAGCGCACTCAACGAGGCTGATCCGCCGCAATCAACACTTAGAAAAATATGAATATTGCAGCTCATCTTGAAGGGAATACCAAATGGTGTATTATTTGAAAATACTATTAGAAACTTCTATTAGTGTAACACTATTATTTTTTTACTTCTCCGTGCCATCAAATCATGTACGGTGTGGTTGCTGCCTTGGTTGCATGGTTACCCACGCACTCCCCACCCTTGATGTAGATTAAGTTTGTACTCTCAGTAAGTCTCCCCCTTGGTGCAGAGGTAAAGTATGAGGCTTAAAACCGTCAAGTCATGGGTTCGATTCTTGGTTGTTTGGTTTTCTCATCGCAGTTTATCACCATTTCTTAGTCATGTATTCTTTTATACGATTTATCTCTGAAGTATGTCTTACACATTCCGTAACAGTTTCCATGGTGCTCCGTCACTCTTTCCGCAGGGATCCTAGCCCTTAAACACAATCTGCGTTAAAATAATGTTGACACGGTTAAAAAAAAAAAAAGAATTCTAAACAAACCACCCCGGCCGAAAAGAGTAGGCGCTCACCCGACCCTCCTGTCGTAGCAGAGGAAGAGGTCGGCGTGAGTGAACTCGACGACCACCACGAAGCTGATGGCCATGGGCACGAGCAGGATGGCCTTGATGAGCAGGGGCAGGCGTAGGAAGGCCGCTGACGGAAGGAAGGCCAGCACGCAGCTCACGGCAACGTATTGGGGCAGTGGGCAGGCCCGGTGGCTCTCCGCCCAGCTGGCATTGGCCGCTTCCACGCTGGCGTTTGGGGCGAGGCAGCCTGGCACAGGCAGGCAGGAAAGCTGCGTGGAAGGACTCGATATAGACCAGAGGTGACTAACCTTTTTACGGCGACAGCTGTTAGTGGGAATCTCCCTGGGGAATTTTCGTCGTCGTCCTTCGCGAAAATTTCCCAGGCCTTGAGTGTGCACAAGCGGCCAGAGCGCGTGTTGGAAAGCAACGAACGTGTGCTGGAGGCGAGGCATTCGAAAGAGACACCATTTTCGCCCTGACGGTGGCTGTAGCCGACAAACCGTTGTGTCGGCAGTCGACCATCCAAACCGACGAACTAGCACACCGTATGGCTAGACCTCGGCAAGTTCGTAGGGGGTCCAAAGAGTGCAACCTTCAGTTACGGCCTTGAGGCTCGTTGTAGGCAGAGTACAGATCAGACACGGGGGTGGAATCGAGGTTGGAAATAAAAATGGTGTAAAAATGCTCAGAATCCTGCTCGGGAGGTAGTGCAGAAACGACGCCAACACCACAATAGCAATTTACGCGAGCGCCGAGCTGCTGTCGTTGTGATGCAGGTTACGCAATAGCATAAATGCACTTCTTAATACCGAGGAACTCCCAACTGCTTTGAATGGCAATCGACGAACCCCCGCCGGTCTCGGTATCGATCCAATAAAGCGGTGAAGATGCTTACGGACCTTGTACGCAATAGTGCGAATACTAAGGAGCGTTTGGCTCATAGCTATGCGTCGGTAAATGGCTCACACCTGCTAAAGCAGTGATTAAACCGAAAAAATTCTTCCTTTAGGAGAGGGACAGCCAGAAAATCAGAGTGCTTGGGAACCTAGGAGGGTACTCTGGGGAACCCCTCGGTCCTTTGGAACCCAGTTTGGGAACTGTTGATATGGACTACAATACAGAACTGATCAAATCGAATTCCTTGTGTGTTGGTTTATAAGCAGCAGAAAGTAAGTCTTCCATAGAATGGAGTCTGGTGTCTCGTAGGTCTCGTAGGTCGTACCCTGGGTTTTGTAACACGCATAATGCGGTGGTGATACACAGCTGCCTGCCAGTATGGTACTCATCCATGTAGAATAAAGTGGCATGAGAATCAAACAAAGCAATTTTCCCTAATTTTGCAGTCAATAACAATATTACCTTATTTTCCGGTTCATAAGTCGCACCACTCTAATAAAATGTTGTTTTGACAAAAAAGGTTGGCATATAAATCACACCTTTGTATTAGTCACACTTATATATGTATATATATTTGTATTGGCATGTCAAAACTGCATTGATAAGGTTGCACATGTGTATTGTGATCGCGATATATGAGGGAGCTAGTTTCAACAGTCTCATCAACGAATCAAACGAAAAACATAACCTCCGTGGTAAAAACGCACAGTTAAAGTCCATGTTTGAACAAAAAAAAAAGTGTCATTAATCTGTAGAATGATTGACTCGAAGCAGCAATCCAATTTACTAGTCCCTGCATCACGCCAGTTCCTGGTACGAGATCACTACCATGCTTCAGCAGCCAAGAAATTGGAATTCGACGACCCCTCAGGAGTTGCGTCACCAGGTACACTACAAGATGTACTTTAGTCCTAATAGATCACTGTCATCACCTGTTACACTTATATGAGAAAGAGTCTTTCTTGCTTACAAATGAATGGCACTTTGAAAGGGACTAAAACTTAATTTCCTGTGCCTACGCTAACAATTCCTGTGCCTATGCTTACAATTTTGCCTCTGCTAGTCAGGCAAAATTTGTTTACCTTTTGCCCCCCCTCGTAACTCGAGGAGTTCAAATAAATTATTACCATTAAAACAAGGCAGTACAAAGGCTTGAAATGCATGACTGTACGTACCACATTGACTTGGGCGATGGCATATATGAAGATGATGGAGAAAATGGTGATCGCCAGCCGCAGTGGGAAGATGCGGCTCAGGTCCCAGCGGATGCACTGCAAGTGCAGGAGATTTCACTGATCAGTCTTTCGAGGGGCCCACAATATTTCAGTTACTAGCATGGTGCCTTTTGTGAAGAGTTTCCAGTTTAAAACGGGGTTGAGAAACATTTTCGAAGAAACTTTTCTGACACTTAAAAAGAAAAGTTTTATGGCAGCAAATGGTGATAACGATCAAGTACTTTCGGAAAGATGATAATGCAATTACTAAATGTAAAGGTGCAAGCGAGTTGGACAAGAATGACGAAAATAATCCCTGGAGAAGGGATTATTTTCCTTTCACCCTTGTTGGTGTTAGAATGGTGGCAGCTGATAAAACCTGTTTGCTCTACTGACGTCTAACCCCTGGCTAGCTCAGTTGGTAGAGTGCTCCACCAGTAATAGAGAGGTCCTGGGAATGAATGAATGAATGAATTTGGAGTTTTCTGGCGCAGCAGCAACATAGGCCATAGTGCGCCAAACACAAGGTAAGGAAATATCACAAGGCTAAATGTTTATTATTGCAGCGGATCAAAATATCAAATATCAATTAAAGAAAACTGTAGTTTAAAGTCGATGTGAAATATTAAACTTTTCTAAAAAGTTAAAAACTTGACTGTACGGAGTAACAGGCTCGTCTCCAAGCAAAAGTGCCAAGTGGAAAGGGATTTGTTTTCTGAAAAAGATTGAAAAGCAAGAGCGGCGTTCGTTATTAAATTGTGGGCATACTAAAAGGATGTGAAGTACACTTAAAGTTTCTGAGCAGTAGTCACACATCGGTGGGTCGTCGTTTCTTAGAAGGTAGCTGTGAGTCAGGTGTGTGTGGCCTATCCTCAGTCGACATAAGATGACCTCATAGAACCTTTCTCGATGTCTGGCGCTGCGCCATTCACTCAAAACAGGTTTAACTTTATATAGCTTATTGTGAGGGTCAGAGTCCCACTCTACTTGCCAAGAATTTTTGATTGTATTTCGTAGTGTGGTTCTATAGTCTGTCACTGGGAGGGTGTCAATTTCAATGGACCTGTTTACACATGCACCTGCAGCTCGGTCGGCTTCCTCATTGCCGTGTATTCCTATATGGCTAGGAACCCAGCAAAAGTGAATAGTGATGTTTTGCTTTATAGCATTCATTAATTTAACACGAAGCAGACAAACCAGGGGATGCTTCCAGGATCTTGCAGAGTTAAGGGCAAGAAGGGAACTGAGCGAGTCTGTAAATATCACAGATAATCTGTATTTTTGTTTGATTATTTCATCTACAATCACTAAGAGTCCATGAAGCTCAGCTGTAAACACAGATGCATTGGCATTAATTCGAATAACACGTTGGTAGGACTGCCCAACCGCAGCGCAGCCAGCATACCCGGCACCTTTCGTCCCATCAGTAAAAAAACTTTTGTCCGTCTCGTAACGACTAGCAATCTCAAAAAATTCTTGTTTTATAACACTAGCGGCGGACACTTTCTTATTGTATTTTGTCAAAGAGAGGTCGCATGTTATAGTTAGGTCATCCCAAGGAGCAAGTCTCTGTTCAGCTTCCATGACAGAACAAGATATGTCAAAACTATAAGTCGCTGCAGCATCCTTCACACGAAGTGCAAAGGGACGTGTTATGGATGGTTTGTTTTGAAAGGCCTGCTCATATTTTATGCTTTCAATCAAAGAAAAATTTGGGTGCTGTGGAAGAGTACGGAGTCTTAAATAGTACTGCATGCTAAGATAAAATCTATGTTTGTCAAGCGACCACTCATTTGACTCGGCATACAAGCTGGGCACGGGGGATGTTCGAAAGGCTCCGGTTGCCAGTCTGATTCCCTGGTGATGAATTGGGTCTAACATTTTAAGTGTAGAGGGTTTGGCAGAACCATAAACAATACTTCCATAATCCAAAACTGAGCGAACACAGGCCCTGTAGATTCGCAAAAGGCAGACATGGTCAGAACCCCATGAACGGTGTGCAAGGACCTTAAGAAGATTTGACTTTCGCTGACATTTTAATCTTAGTTCCTTTATATGTGAGCCAAAAGTTAATTTACTATCGAATGTTAGGCCTAAAAACTTATGCTCCGATTTAACCGGGATGGGTGTACCTTTAATATACAATGATGGCTCCGGAGACATTCCTCGTTTTCGAGAAAAGCAAACAGCCACAGTCTTCTCGGCAGAAAACCGGAAGCCATTCTGGTCAGCCCACTTACTCATCCTGTTTACCGTAAGTTGAACTTGTCGCTCACAGATGGCTAAGTTACATGAAGAAAAACAAATCTGGACATCGTCGACGTAAAGAGAATGAGTGATTGTGGGCGGAATTACTTGAGATAGAGAATTTATCTTTATAATAAACAAAGTGACGCTTAAGACACAGTCCTGCGGCACGCCATTCTCCTGGGGGAAAGGGTCGGAGATTGCAGCTCCCAGGCGTACCTGAAAGCTACGATCCTGCAAAAAGTCAGCAATGCAGTTGAACATTCTCCCTTTTATGTTCATCGACATAAGGTCCTGGAGTATGCCGTATCGCCAGGCGGTGTCGTAAGCTTTTTCAAGGTCGAAAAATACAGAGAGACAAAATTGCCTATTTATGAAAGCCTCGCGGACTGCCGTCTCAAGACGTACAAGGTGGTCAACACTAGACCTGGAAGTGCGAAAACCACACTGGAAATTGCTTAGTAGGTTCTTTTCTTCTAGTATGTAGATTAGCCTGTTGTTGACCAGCCGCTCAAAAGTTTTCCCCAAACAGCTAGTAAGGGCAATTGGCCTGTAGCTCATGGCTTTACTTCTGTCCTTTCCTTGTTTTAAGATGGGGATGACAATAGCCTGTTTCCAGGCGCTAGGAAACTTTCCTTTCGCCCAGATGATGTTAAAAAACTGGAGGAGAATGACTAGAAATGTTTCAGGTAGATGAGAAAGCATGCTAGGGTGAATTGCATCAAGCCCAGGGGATGTAGGCTTTGCAGCAGCAAGGGCTCGACGGAGCTCGGCGAGGGAGAAAGGACAATTATATTTTTCAGTGCAATCTTCTGATCTACGAATTGGAATTCTCTCGCGCTTGGACTTAAACTGCAGAAACTCTGCAGTGTAGTTTTCAGAACTAGAGACTTGTGCAAAGTGTCTACCCAGTGCATTGGCTTGTTCATATAATGATGAAAATGCTTCTCCCTTCTCGTCTAACAGCAAGGGGATTGAGAAAGGATGGTAGTCACCATCCATTCTACCTACTCTGTCCCAGACAATCTTCGCTGGTGTGAAACTATTAATGGAAGATGCATATGAGCAAAAGGATCTCCTTTTCGCCCGTTTCCTAATATAGCGGGCTTTTGCACGTAATTGCTTAAATGCCAGGAGGTTTATGGAAGTGGGATACCTCCTAAATTTTGCCCAAGAACAGTTTTGGCGGTTTCGAGATTCTTTACACTCATTATCCCACCACGGTTTAGGACGTCTCGGCAGCTTGCCGGATGTCTGTGGGATGGACAGACGGGCTGCCTCAACAATTGCTGTTGTTATGAGAGCATTTTTTTCGTCCACGGAGGCCGCTTGCGAAAGATCCAGGGAAGAAGGGATATTTGACTGAAAAAGGTTCCAATCTGCTAAAGAGATCTTCCAACAGGGGGAACGACAAGGCAGCCTGGGCAGGACTTCTAAGGGAGTAAGATATACCGGAAAATGGTCACTTCCATAAGGGTTATCCAATATATTCCAAATAAAATCTGTAAAAAGTGCAGCGGAACAAATTGTGAGGTCAATGCAAGAAAAGGAGTGATTAGCAGAACTGAAATATGTTGGCTCGCCTGTATTTAATACACATACTTCTCTGAGAGATAAAAACCGCGCCACAACGGCACCTCGAGTGTCAGTTCGGACACTGCCCCAGAGGGGGTTGTGTGCATTAAAGTCGCCCATTAAAATAAAAGGTTCAGGGAGCTGATCGATTAAAGTTTCAAGTTGGGCGAGTTCCAGGGCAAATGAAGGGGGGATGTAAATGGAGCAAATTGTAATAAGGCGTTGCTGTAGCAACCTCACCGCAACGGCCTCCAGAGGCGTGTCTAGGGGGACCTCATAGGCAGGAGTGCCATTGTCTACGACAATAGCAACCCCACCGGCAGCGCTAGAAGTAGTCACACGGTCCTTCCTGTAGACTTGATATGATCTAAGAAAGTTGTTGTTGGGTGGTTTGAGGTACGTCTCTTGCAGGCAAAATGCAGAGGGTTCATGCCTCTGCAACAAGAGCTTCACATCATCTAAATTACTAAAAAGACCTCTGCAGTTCCACTGCATAAAACTCATTATTTAAAAAACAGTAGAGCAAGTATTAAAAAGTTAAAAAACTCGAAAGAGAAAAAAATGAGAATATACCGATCAAAAGGGATCTTCAGGTCTTAAAATCTATCTTAATACACGGGGCATTTTTCTTCTTCGTAGCTTCCTTCCGTTTCCCAGTGGGACCACTGGGGGCGGAAGAGGAAGACTCAGATCCCGAGAGGAGGGCGTCCTCGTCAGATCTGGGTCCGCTCTCATCCATTGGCTCCTCTGTTGGGGAGGCAATGGCCTCAGGTTGACCTGCAGAGGTCGACTGCTTGGGGGGCTCCCCAGGTTTCCTCTGAGGACCAGAGTTCCGGGATTGGAGTCCCCGGCCCCGAGGGACCGAAGCAGCAGGTGGGGCAGGAGAGGTCATACCCTGCCCTGAGGTGGATGCTGACGCAGCAGCATCCACCTTGCGGTTAGGAGGCGGTGCCATGGGCACCGCTCCCGAGGTGGACGCTGATGAGGGAGCATCCACCTTGCGGTTTGGAGGCAGTGCAACTGGCACTGCTCCCGAGGAAAGGGGACCTAACGGGAGACGCAGGTCGTCCGAAGACGTCTGCGTTCCCGTCGACACCATTGACCGTGCCGGACCCCTGTGCACGGCCTGGGCATAAGACCCTTTAGAGATAAATGCAAAGTGCTTCTTTGCATCAATGTAGCTTATATTTTCTTTAATTTTTAGTGCAAGAATTTCTTTTTCTTGTTTCCAGACAGGGCAGGATCTGGAATAGGCAGGGTGGTGGCCTTCACAGTTTGAACACAGAGGTTCACTCTCACATGCTTCAGCAACGTGCTCTTTACTAGAGCACTTAGCACACTTGTTGGTCCCCCGGCAGCTCCGCGACCCATGCCCGAACCGCTGGCACTTAAAGCAGCGCAGCGGATTTGGCACATATGGGCGGACGCGGCACTGGAGGTAGCCGGCTCTAACAACTTCGGGGAGAGAGGTTGATTCAAAAGTTAAAACAATGTGTTTTGTTTTCAATTCTACACCGTCCCGACGCAGGGTGATCCGCCGTGCAGCCGTCACACCCTGCGTGGCCAGCCCCTCAACAACTTCTTTCTCCGGCGTATCAAGGAGGTCATCCTCAGAGATGACGCCTTGAACGGTGTTAAGGGTGCGGTGTGCTGTGACAGTGACCCTATAGTCTGAGATGCAGTTTAGCGCTAAGAGGGCGTCACTTTGTCGTTTGGTGTTAATCTGGATGAGGAGGTCGCCAGATGACATTTTCTTGGCATGAAAGTCTTTTCCAACCACTCCCTCTATCACCTTCGCGACGAGGAATGGGGACAGTTTGGCAAGAGGTTTTTCAGTCTCCGAATGCATTACCAGGAATTTTGAAAATTTTTCAGGCGTAGATGGTGTTTTTTCAAGGAGTAGAGCTTCGGTGCGGCCTCTTTTCAGAGGCCGATCAAGAAAGTTTCGCTTGGAACCCATAATAATGGGAGGATCTTCGGTGCCCCGGGTGCGCCACCCACCACGGAGCCCAACACGGGGATAGGTAATGCGCCATAGCAAGAGTGGCTTGGCTGACGACATTACACTATCAGCGCTGCCCAGGCACTATAACCCAGTGTGGTGCTAGACAGGGGTCTATAGCCACCCAAGGTTAGCCCTTGCCGCCAAAGAGGTTGAAATGGAAAAAAGGCGAGAGAAGAGGAAAGAGAAAGAAGAGAGGGGATAGTAGAAGAAATGGCGACTGACTGCATCATCCTGGTCGGGCCAAGCCAGGACACCCGTCTACGAGAAGCGGGGGCCAAAGTGGTGTGTTGCCTCACCTGGGGGGCCCCGAAGGGTCCAAACCTACCCCGGGTTCAGCTCAACCACCAGGATGCCCTTTTCCCCGGACACGGGTTCGCCACGCACAGCCAGACGTGGGTGGGTCTTAGCCACTTTTTACTCAAGGTCTGTGATGTTGCCAATGTGGCTGGGGTCCGTGGTGACGCTACTCACCAAGCACCTAGCACCTAAGGTGCAGGCGCCCCCTGCGGAGCTCGGGGTCCGTGGAGACGCCACTCTCCAAACACCTGCTTTCACAGGTGCCCCCTGCGGGGGAGGTCCTGGGTTTGATACCCGAACCAGGCGGATTTTTTTGGTTGCGCACCAGTCACCTAGCTGTGTTTGGAGATTTGTGTTTGTCCTGTCCCTCTTCTTCCCATCTCCAGGAATTATTTTCGTCACCCTCGGAAAGCTTTGATCGATATGCAGCTGTGTCATGACTGAAGTTACAGATGCAGTGCATAGAGGACACACGCCGCAGATAAACCCATGTCAGAACCTCAGGACTCAGAAAAGTATGCTTCAAGCAATTTTAGCGCACATCTTGTTCAGTTAGCGTAGCCTACATTCTGCATCAAGCGATACCAAATCAAACAATGGGCACACGATGGGACCATGAAAAGGGTTGCAATAAAACCTCCAAAGTGTCCAAAGGCGTGGGCATTATCATGACCCCTAGAAAATATTTAAAGACTTCACGCATATAACAATAAGTTGCAGCTGTGATGGCGATTCCAAAAAAGTAAACCGCAATGCTCTGTCTTTTTTCTTTTCTGCCAGTCGACGTTCATGAATCGAAATGTTATGCAGGCAATGTTTATGCTATAACTAGGATTTCATGTTTTCGGAGTTTATTTCTTGTGAAATTCGGAGAGTGCTTTTTTGTGTTTATTCTAAAATAAATTGGGAATCTATAAAAAAAAAGCTCAGATAAACCCAATCTTTAAACGAAATTTCGCTTAAAATTTGAGGTTTGTCGGAGTTTTCTTTTTATAGATTCCCAATTCTCTGAAATTCGGAGTTTAATTTTACTGTGTTCCCAATTTTTAAGAAATCACAAAGAAAATAAAATTTGGACTCAAAAGACGTACCTTACATTTTTCACAACTCACCTGTACCGGACATTTCTGCAGGTGCATTTGGCATTGGCACACTAGCCACTAGCAATAATAGCTATCCCACGACAAATATTGCAAAGAAGTGTTACCTCAATAACAGTCAATTGACTATTATTGAGGGAGTTACTGGAAAGCATGAAATCTTCAGCTGCACTTCGAGCTTTAATTAAATCTATGGGTTCATATTACAAAAGAACTACCCCTCCTTCCTCTAAGTACAAATAGTATGATTCAAACTAGAAACCTAAACAATGGCTTTTGTCTTGACCCGGAGGTACAATGAATCATTATCCAGAATGAACTTTGACGAGCTAAAAAAATAAACCCTTCTTGGTCAGTAGTTTGAGGTTTAAAAAAAAAAAACTGAAGTGACCTCTCCTCAGGACCGCCGACCCTGTGCTCTTATAAAATCTATTTGCAAAACATTGCCATACTTGCTTTTTATTTTCGTGACCTCGAAATTCCGAGTTTTTCAAATAAATCTGAATTGATGGAAATTTCATCGGCGAGTGTTTTTCTGATTTTACTGGATCTATCCGAGAACACAGAACCTTAGTTATAAGAGTAATATTGTTTTTTAATGCAGAACATGTTTTATTGTTGGCACCCGGCGTTTCCGGTTTTACTCCTGAGATGGAAGACATTCCTGAGACGGAACAAGAGAATGTGAGTACTAGCCGAACACAGACGCAGTGCTTATCTGCTGACTGGTTAGACAGTTGGACACAAGTGCCAGCCGAACGTCTTGTTCGAGTAGGTCTGAGTTACTCCCATGGGTCACACCATGTGATCAAACAGAGTGAGCTCTGGGTTTTTCAGCGTTCCTGCCAAACACGTCACTTTTTTGCTTTCTTATTTTTTCACTTTGGGGCACTTTCTGGATAAGGCCATTCAGAATGAAGCCACAGCGCAACGCAACTCTTTCATCTTCTCCGTTCTGGTATGTCTCATTCTCGGAGTTATGGTGACGGAGTTGCCAAGGCGCCAGGAAGAGCGGTGCAGCGATCGCATCTAGCTCGACATTGAACCACATTCTATGTTACCCCCGCCCCTGTTACAATAAGGGAGGAAAGGGCCGATTTTTTTTTTATTCACTGTGTTGCCCAAAATATGCACCCCTCATTACATTTGTTCTCAAATAGGGGGGTACCAGACTACCAGTACAAACATTTCAGCTTCCAAGTCTTTAAGAATCGTGGTGGTTATTTGGCACCCTCTATCGAACTCGATAGATAACTTTAGATCTAAATGAGGAGAGGGTCGGAATCACAAACATAAAACAACCAAATCGCAACATTTGATGTAAAGAATTTAGGAAATACATATACCGTAATATCCTGAGTCATCGCCCATCCACCTGCTGCGTGAAATTTATAAAAAAAAATGGGGTGGGCCACGTCTCAGGGGGCAAGCGCAAAAAGTTTAGAAAAAGCTGGAGAAACGCCCATTTTTCTGTACATACCTAGTGCAGCTGCACAGGAGATACATTAAACTCGAAACTCAGATTAATTTCCATGTTTTATGCAAGAAATACTCATGAAAGACTGTTTTACTATCGCAAAGGCCATTCCTTGCATACGCGTGATGAACACCGTGGTGTACTGAAGACCGTGGTATACCGTGCGATTAACTCCACAGTATACGTGAAGCTGCCCTATATTTTACGGTATAGGGCAGCTTCATGCGACATACTCCTGGTTCGAAAACTCGCCAGGTGCCATGATGATAAACTTTCACTGTAGCGTCTGCCATGCAAACTAATCGGGAAGGTTGCAGACACTGTTCGTCAACATGGCGGAATACGACTCACCGCAGGAGAAAAGGCGTTTTGTGGAACCGCCGCATGGAGGGCGAGGTTGAATAAAAACAGTCTCACCCTGAGCTGTGCTGCCAGGACCAGGATGAGCAGAAGGGAGATCCAAACAAAGGCGGTCACGGAGAGCAACAGCAAGATCAGCGTCCTGCAACCAAGCAGAGAGGTTAGGACACTGACCCCTAAGGAAACCGGCCGATGCCAGCGACTTGCCTGGGCAGCACGATAGCTTGCATGGCACTCAGCAAGAGCAGCACGGCCAGGATGCAGGCTAAGCTGTTCCCGAAGCCGTGGTCCTTCTCCTCGTGGTACTGGTTACAAAGAGGCAACAGGGGAAAATTGAGTTTCATTTGGCATTTATAGCCATTCTATAAGAAGGACCATTCACACCCTTGCGTTTGCTTACAACCGAGTTCTTCTGATCGCTTACGACGAGAGAACACACTGGCATGCTGGCTTCATCAATGAGGTGACCCTAGAACTGCATTCCACTAGGACAAAGGTTTTGTGGTCAAATATGCGTACTATCTATAAAAAATGGTCCTCAACACTGTCAGGCTTTTCGAGCCTACCAGAAAGAGAGAAGCACGAAAAAAACAAAATATAAGGAAATGCAACGTGTTCCACGTCTACCAGATAGATGGCGCCAGTTTGCTCTCTCGCTGTAAGAGATCCCAAGAGGTTTTAAAACATTCAGTCGGAAGCAGTTGCGAATGTGTGAGCCAGACTTTAGTTATTAATTAGGGCATATAGGGTGTTTCACTACTGACTGAGAACAACATAAAGTAAGGACACTTGCGACTACTTATGACCATACCTCGGCAAAACTCACTCATGAGTGCACTCACTCACCTCTCTCACCCTCACCGATCAGGCGTGAGGTGAGGGTGAGTGAGTTCAAAGGTCTTGAAAACTCGTAAGTTTGAGGTTCAGTGAGGGGTGCGAGTTCGGTGAGGTGTGCGAGGTCGGGGAGTTCATGAGTTTCGTGAGTTCATGAGTTTAGTGAGGGGCATGAGTTCGGTGAGTTAATGAGGTCGGTGAGAGCATAAGTTGGGTGGGGGGCGTGAGTTTGTGAGTTTGGTGAGTTCATAAGCTCGGTGAGGGGCGCGAGTTCATGAGTTTGGTGAGGTGTAAGGTCCCTCAGGGGCCATGGGTTTGATGAAAGTTTGCGGGGTGATGTCGAGGAAGGGCAGGTCATGTGACTTTTCCATACACTTTCGGGGAAGTTAAGTTGATGCTTGCTTCGCAATGGCGCTGTTAGCTCGTACGGCTGGTTCTCTACGAGCGATTGGAAAGGAGGAAAGGTGCCTATTGATTCATTTGCACTCTTCGGCTCCAGCCCGCTTTGCGGCTGCTTGGTCTGGTCTTTTGTCGCTGGTAGCTGCCTCGTGGCGGGGTGATGAGAGAGGAGGCAGGGCTCTCCCGCTCGCCTCAAGGGGTGTCCAAACAGGACACTACAAAACGCACGACTCCGACAAATCGTGAAAATTGAAGCGGACACGCCCGCTTCAATTTTCACGATTTATCGGAGTCGTGCGTTTTGTAGTGTCCTGTTTGGACACCCCTTCAGTCGCTCTTGTGTTGACTGCAAGGCACTGATATAAGTGCGGCGTTTTGTTGTTTCGTAAAGACAGGAACAGGGTACTCCACCGGTATACCTGAGGGCAGACGTTGCTATTTCGAGTGCGCTCGTCTTATGCACGGTTGCTAATCCTGAAGTCAATATTAAAATGAAAGCTGGCTGGGAACTGTTTGCCTGTATACTTGTTTGCTCAAGCTGTACCCTGGAGTTAGGTAAAAAAAAGTAGGCATACACGTCTTCATGCTCGAGTATGCCCGAAATGCCGGACTTGTCCGCAATGGGGTTTAAAGGCTGCTACATTTATTTGGTAGCATATAAAGTTAATTTGATTCTGGATTGTCATAGAACAATTGTAGATGATAAGTTTTTAGATTGCATCCAAAGAGATATAAGACAATCTTTTTACTTTCAATATTGGTGATAACAAAGCAACGTTCTATCGCGCTATCCGGCATCCTGTTAGTCGCTTAAGAGGGGGCCATTGAGCATAGTCGGAATACTGGCTGCACACAAAAACGTTTCGCCTGCCGGAGAAAGGGTTTTCTTACTAGCTCCAATACATAGTATTTTTATATTAGTTATGTTTCCTATATATTATTCATCAACCGGTACGGCTCGTGCCGGTGCACGTCTCAGTCATTCACGGGTAGTGCTATTGTTTTTTTAGCAACATGATTTATATTTATATGAGTAAATAACAGCGGGGAGGAGGTAAGATCCAAACCTAAGTAATTATAAAAAGATTTGATATGTGTGCATGTGCGTGCGCGTTTGGAAGCAAACTTCCCCCCCTGAAGAAATTAAGCACCCCAATTTTTTGTATCTAACAAAACAAACCTTGAAGAATTGTAGACCGTTTATTTAGCCCTTTAACCCACAGATCAACAATATTGTAGACCTAAGTAAAAAGGACACTAAAATAAGGCGGAATCTAAATACAAACACACGTCACTAAATTTAGCGTTTTCGAGACACATGTTCTTCATCATAGTTGATAAAACTATTAACAAAGGGCGGATGCGGCTGCTTCATGGTTAAAGGAGCGGGTTTTGTCATTCGCTGGCATTCTTTGTATTGACCGCACTCTGGCCGCTGTGGGAAGCGTTTATCTTAGGCGAGCAAATTCATATTTTCCACATTCAAAAGAGCATGCATCAGGAACACGGTATAGAAATATTGTTATGCTTAGGTGCTTGAAAGACTCGCAGGCGGTTCGCGATCATAGTCGACAAAATTGTTGAGCTGCCAGTTCAGGGCAAAGAGGCGCACCTCATGCTGGTACAGCCAAAGTGTTGCAGGCATGCCGCTACGGCTTTGATACTGAAATTATTTATCGACAATAGCGCTTGTATTAAAACTAAAGTAATGGGAAACATTTAGGCATACATTTCATGTCCTAAGCACAAAAAGAAAAACACTTACAAAGCGCTGTGTAAATGCTTCTTTTGTATGTGTGTTTGTATGTGTGTGTGTGTCTGTGTGCGCGTGCGACTTTAGAGTATCTGTTTCTCTAGCGCGCTGTTGCCTCATGTCCTAGTTCCCGCGTATTTTTTTTAGAGATGATTTTGTGCAGCAGGTAATATCCATCAAGAAATAAGACTCTGCTTATTGATCTGGTTGCAATTCAGGAGTATTCTTCTTTTTGTAGCCATGAACTAGACTACGTTCTACAGGAAACTCAGAAAGGAGTGAGGTGTAGCGCTTCTTTGGCTGCACTTGAGTGCTTCTGAACTTGAATCGAGCGATGACGACATACTTCGTGAAACAGAAGGTGCGGACACATCAGAAAGGTCACCAAGCAAAGACTAATGCGCGACCACAACTTTTGATTCGAATGAGGAACGGGTTCATCGCGTCGTAAACGCTCGCTCACAGCTGCTAGCACCTGCCCTCCAAAAAAAAAAAAGAGCCGTAGTCGTGCGCTCATTCCCGTTCCTGACGACTAGGAGGATGAGGGATCACAGGGAACGAGTAAGGGTCATGCCACATCAAGAGAATGGAACAGAGCTGACATCCCCAAGCTGCCAGTTTCAGAAAAGGTCCACGAGCCACCTCATGAAGTGGTTTACTCCGTACGCCTACCACACGTTCATGTTCACTGAGCCGAGTTGATTGGCCTGAGAACCTTCCAGACAAGCTTATACAGCCCACAACAGCAAGGAACTTATATAGCAACAGCGCCCGAGGAAATCCGAAGCTTTTTGGGTATACTCGTGCTTATGGGCGTATAAAATTTTCCTTTACTGGAAGACTGCTGGCCACGGGACAGACAATTTTCCCGAGTTGCTGACGACATGCCGTTGAAAAGGTTTGAGGCACTGAGACGTTAGGTGCACTTTGCTGATAAACTTGCAAAACCTGGGAGTGGTGAGCGGCTTTTCAAGGTGCGGCCTCCGTTTGAAAACCTACGGACACAATATTTTTTTTTTCAATATTCCAACAGAAAGCAAAGATAACATTGACATGGTGATGGTAGCCTACAAAGGCACACGTGCAGGAATCTTGGGACAGTGTGTCCGCAACAAGCCACACAAATGGGGTTTCAAAATTCTTGGCAGATCCAGCTCCACCGGGATCATTCATGACCTCCTCCTGTACCAAGGGTACATTATTCAACATCCCCTCTTTCCTGATAATGAAAGCCTCCTGGATGGCGCTAAAGCCGTCCAGCGGTAAAATTGCTTGTGACTGCCACTGCGGAGCCCAGGTTTAATGTTAACATCAGTGCACTCCCGCTGACCTTGTACCGTAACTTTACCCCTAACTGGCAGATCAACAAAATTGTAGACCTTTTGTACCTAGAATAGTTTTTGATGAAACAGTTTCATATTTATTCTGGTATGTATTAGTGTGTTGCGGAGACGAAATAAAGGTACAAAAAAATTCTAGTCTCACTGGTTTTTATCTCGCCAGTTAAAGGGTTAAGTAGCATGAATGCACCCTTCCCCCTCTTCAAATATATCATGAATTTCCAAATTACGCTACAAGCGAAATAACTGAATTATTGAAAGCAAACGAACTTGTGCTTATACCAGTGGGCTATTTATTCATTCAAATTAGTGAAGACAAACTAAAAATTACCATCCAACAAATTAATAAATTATTTTAATAGAGAATGCAATTTTGTATGTGTAATTTGTAAATATTTGTATTCAACATATTGACAGGTTTGAACACAAGTACACATTGTCTGAGCAACAAGAATACCGAAGGCATCTGACGCTGATCACAATTTTATGTCAGGATCCATAAAGCATAACATTTTACGAGGCACAGATTTGGTAAATTAGAACGTCCCAGTTTTAACTGGTATGTGCGGTGCAACAGAAAATGAGACACAATAAAAGAATTACTATACAATAATATGTTATGCACAAAGTTTTTCAATCGTTTCTTCTTCCAGAAAAAGATATATCCATCATGGTATTTTTAGGAATATATCCACCACGATATATTTGAAGACAGACCCTTTCAAAATAGTTCTACTTGAAAACGAATTGCCTTGCAAACTGTCAAAAACAAAATACAAACACACGGTGGTGCGTGTTGGAATAATACTAATTCACACCTGCAAAAACAGCAATGCAGACGCTCACTCCGTACTTGCATGAAGTTGTCGCAAATGCTTGAAACAAACAGTGGACACCGTAAAGAATACTTCGCGAGACTCGCGACAAAGCACCCTTGTATATCCCAACAAAGCGCGCCTTCCTCAAGCTCTCGGCCGGCGAGCGCAAGGAGTTGAAGCGAAACAAATAAAAAGACAAACATTCCTTCACTTGGAGACATGACGACTGGAGCTGGAGCAGCGGAAGACGGCAGCGATCGTGGCAGAGTCGTAAATGCTGCGCAACTCGTGCGAAACACGAGCACCAGTGCCGCGACTATAATGAGTGCGAGGACTACTTCTGGGCGAGTGAGTGAGGTGAGTGAGTGAACTCACGAGTTCGATGCATGAGGGGCTTCAGTTTGTAAGTTCGGTGAGGGGCGCGAGCTCGTAAGTTCGGCGAGTTCGTTAGTTCGGTGAGAGGCGCGAATTCAGTGAGTTCATAAGTTTGTGAGTAAGTACTATAGAAGGAGAGTGCAGCTGTGAAGGTGAGGGTGAGCGAGTTTTCAACTTTTTATTTTGAGCTAGCTGTGAGTGAATTCGACCAAAAATGCAGACCTCGGCTTATGACCGAGGGCGTTAAAATATCTCGTGATCTCTTATGACAAGAGAACACAGACATCATCTGTCAGGTAGCCATGGAAGAGATTTCTGTATATTTCCTACTTCCATCATTCTATCTTTATGGGCTTGAAAAACTTTTGACAATAACCCTTTCATGGTACATACATTCAATCTCAAATAAATTGCAAAACCTTCACTCTAGTGAAATGCAGTTCCAGAGCCACCTCACAGATGGCGCCAGCGTGCCAGTGTGCTCTTTCTTCGTAGGAGATCACGAGAGCTCGGGCGTAAGCAAACGGAAGCAACCAGAAATAAAGAAACTCTCCCTCAATTCCTTCTTTCCACTTGAGAAAGAGGGAGACCCTCCTCTTTCTTGTGGAGAGTAGCTCAGAAACCTCCTCCTGTGTGGAAAGGAGGGAAAGGAGACAAGGAAACTGGGAACTGTTTTTCTTTTATGGCCTTAGTAGATTCTATAGGTTGGCCTTTAAGGGGAAAAAGATATAACTGAAATCTTCATACCTGAGAAGACATCAGAGTGTAGCACACCTTTTCTGCGATCATATGACCTTCTCCACACTGTTCAATGGCACATTTGCCCTAACCCGACATTGTCAGATGTCTCAGAATGACCGGCTACCTGCATCCGCTCTGGATGCTGTAGTCCCTTTGGGGTGGGACTTCCATCGCTCTTTTAGTGTTACTTTCAGTATCTCAGTTCCCTCACAGCTTAAATATGCCAGAGACCAGTATGGAGCAGTATTTATTTGTCTGAACTCTTACAAGAGCCATGGCATATATACTCTGAATGCAGGAAACAAATCTCTAATCGAAACGTGCCAGCTAAGGCGAATATTTCGAAAGTTTATTACTACATTTTGGATAATTCATTTACTAATTATAATTTTACACTCCTTACCTGATGACCGCCGTGGTCAATGACATTACCACGAAAGAATTGTGTCTTTATCTCAATGTGCTCTTTTCCTAAGGTTTCCCAGTTGTTGGTGAAACACCCCGTATAAATCACAAGCAAGTCAGCAATCCTCTGTTGCAGGTTCAGAAAAGCAGGTCAGGCTCTTTTCACAGAGCCATCTACTCTTTCCAGTTTAGTAGCAGAGCAAACGCTGGAGAGGAGTTGAGAGAAGAGAGTCCAGCATTCACTCTGCTAAAGAGGAAGAGAGGATGGACTTTGTGGGTCGAACTTGTCCTACTTATCTTAACCTGCAACAGAGTATAGATACCCTCTTTACTAGAGAGGGCAGAAAGAATATCATTTAAAGAACTCCTATGGATGAAACACAGAAGGTGCACATACTTGCTTCTCTTTGCCCTTGTCCTTGAACCACAGCGTGACGACGTTGACGTGATTGGACTTCTCCCGATCGACACTGCGGGCCTCGATGGCTTGAGCCAGGTACTTGTTGACGCGGTTGGTGGGCTGGTGGTACACCACAGAGTGCCTAGAGGTGCAACAACACATCCTCAGACGGGACAGAAGTAGGCCAGAATGCCTTTGCTAGAGTTGCTGGAGCTTTCACAAATTAATCAGGCTTCCAGCATTTAATCACTGTAGCAAGTGCGTTCATTATGATGGCAGAGTTGTAATGAATGCACAGTGTGTGAGCCCTTCGCACAATGTACGCAGCTCACCTTTTTTTGAAGGGCTTCCGGAGTTTGTCGGGCATCTTGAGCTGAAGGTAGAACAAAACAAAGCATAAATTCGGCACACATCAGATAAGCTCTTAGCATGAATAACAGAAGCCACATGCAAAAAAGAAAAAAATAGGCTTATATCGACAGCTTGCAGGTTTTGGCCAATATCATACTGGGCCAAGACCTCCCAATGTGTGCGACAGCTGCTGCCAAAGCATGGACCGAGCTCTCTTCTATTTTCTACTTACTTTATACAGCATTATACTCTTTACTATATACTAGAAAGTGTATTTGAAGCCCCATACTATGCCGTAAGCAGCACAATTGATTTGATCCCACTGAGTGTGCCGTCCACCACACAGGGTGCGTGATCGTTAACTCTAACGCAGGACTGGTGCTTCCCAGTATTTTACTCACGCAGGTGGGGATCAATGCAGCACTCATTGTAAACCACCGAGCATGCGCCCATCCAATATTTGGAGATAATCTAGAAAAACTGGGTCGCTATGGAGCCCGGGGTGGACGCTTGGTCTGTACTTTGTTCATTTTAAATGCATAGCATTTTTAGGGCCAGCTTTTAGGGTTTTCATGTCCGCAGATGTAGCCTCAATGACGTCACAGTTTCACGTGATGTCATGACATCATGTGACACCATAATGTCACACTGACAGCTTTACTGTATTTACTCGCATAATAAACACACCTTTTCCCCCCAAAATTTACACATATTTGGGGGGTGCATTCATTACGCAGGGTAAAATTTTTGCATCTACACACCTTGTGCAAATGTCATACAGTATCAGGTACCAACATGAGACGGCAAGGTACTGTGGCATGTTTCCACTGATGGAGGTACACCCACGGCTGGTCGGGAGCGCGCCACAGTAACCATGCTCGATTAATTGCAAACCTTTTTAGAGCGCTTTCAGCGTGCCTTTTTCCAAAAGAAAAGCACCCTACGAAGCGCACTCAGCAGAAAGAACAACGCGACCGTTCTTAGGCCTAACCACTTTCATGATTTTGCTCTCTGAAAGCGGACCACAGACGATGGCGTTTCTGTTGACATCAATGCATCTGATAGGCGAAGAATGTCTGGGGCTGGGCAATTCCTCGACCCAAGCTTCGTCAAGTGTGCGCGCCGCTCAGTTTCACGGTTCATCACGTCCACAACTATGCACTTGCACTAAAATATTAAGGTGGGCTAGCTGGATATGCATCTTAGAAATAAATAGCACGAAGGTCAAAGGCAAACAGACGGAACAAGCGCTATTAAATATTAAAATGAATATTAAAACGACAGTTGTGAGTTAGTGCTTGTCCCATCAGTTTGCACTTGACCTTCGCGCTGTTTATTTCTAATATGCACTTGTAGCCATTACAAGAGTGGCTTGGCTTGGCTTGACTTGGTCTGACCGCTTGTCAGCAAAAAAAAATTGGCTCGGTGAGCTTGGTGGCTAGCTAAGTTGGACGCAATTCAAGACTCGTGGAGCTGAAAATTGGAAGTAGTTCATTACGCGAGGGAAAAAAAGAAAGTCCAGAAGTAGTGTGCTTGCAAAAAGAAGAGCACAAAGAAGCCCTATAAATGCTACATATTTAGAATGCCCTTGGAAAATGCCAAGGAGACAGCCAGTTTTGTTTTTACGCTTCATAAGTAGCGCGTGGGTTCTGACACGGGCATAAGCTCGCTACTTTGCGCCATGCATGTGAACTTGGCGTTAGCAGCAGCTTTATGAGGCTGCCAGTTTCCGGAGAAAGGGCCCCACCTTCTTGCTAGACTGCTTCTCTGCGGCAGCGGAGGCAGCTGCGGCATTTGAGGCAGGGGGCGGGGGCATGGCCATGTTTGAGAAGGGCACGTCCATGCTGTACTTGATGGAGTGGAGCAGCTGTACCACCACATTGGAGACGTTCTTGAAGGAGAGCTTGCGACCGGCCAGGCGCCGCACATGCAACTGGTTGAACAGCAGCGTCTGCTTCCGGGTGCGAAGGGAGAGACAAGGTGGAAGGTCAGGGTCGAGTCCACACAGGGGAGAACCCTAATGTAATACTAATACTATAATACTACTACTGAACGATTACAATAACTGTAATACTACACTGTGATACTACTTGAATACTATTATAGCGACACCATTATAATGCTGCTGTAACACTGTAGTAATCTGAGTACTGTAATACTACTGCGATATCACTTGAATACTGCTATACTACTTGAATACTATTGTCATAGTACTGTGATGTCACTACTACTGTCATTTTACTGTTATACTACTAGCATACTATACTACTACTACTGTAATACTGCTATCATACTACTACTGTAACATTATACTGTGATGTTACTTGAATACTGCTGTGGTACTATTTGAACACTACTGTAATACTACTACTACTGTCCATCACCTGAATTAGCACCATGACTTGCCTACAGCACCTGTATGGTGCAGCAAATAGTATTGACGTTTTAGCTCAGATTATTCTGCATTTAAATTGTTTCTGACTGATTTGCAATCTCACGATTTGTGCCTAATTACCAATGCATCAGATGTTCATGAGCAAAGAAAATAAACAAATGAATGAATTAAGGAATACTACTGAGATATTACTTAAATACTGCTGAGATACTATATGAATACTACTACCATACTGCAACTACTATAATTATACTCATTGTCACCCCAAGAAAAAGATTGAGCATTACACATGCTACGCGAGGTAGTTCTTACCAAGATTTGCTTGTCAGAAAAAAAGAAAATGCTTTTTACAGCGAAGCTGTTATGTGCTAGGATCTGGAAAAAAATCCGTCCATGGATGTTTACAAAAAACTCCCATTTAAACGGCACTCCTTCGTTACGATTGGTTGCGGCAGGTATAATTAAAAAGAGGGGGCAACCCGCGTGAGTCAGCCTTCCTTCGCATTATTAGACAGTGAGGTCCTGATCCCTTGTTATCATCTACGGTCACCGACTTATCTCAGCTAAGGGTGTGCTCTGACGAGGCTGAGGGCAGAATGCGCCGCCGATCTAACTTTCTTTTCTTTCGCTTCCGCGATGCTGATAAAGAGACTCGGGCTCAAACGGAAAAAACTGTCCTCAAGGTGTGCCTCGAATAATTGAATTTAGAACTTGCCCATAACTGACCATAAGGCAATGATCACTTCAGTCACTAAGAATTAAATAAAGACATTTAAACAACGAAGTTGCGTACATGTCTTCATTGCAATCACATGTAAATCATATAGATGTCGTAAAGATAACAGCTTCGCTGGTCCTTCGTCTTCACGTGAATTGGATGGGCTGTACAATTTTTGTACTTGAAACATGTGTGCTTTGATAAAATAGGAGATAACTGATCTTAGATATGCCCATATAAGTATCTCAATTTACCGCACAAAGGGGGGAACCAGTGCTGTTCTGCGAGGAGTACATTTTTTTTTACTTCGCTTCTTGAGGTGGGAATGAGTGTAGGTGGATTTTTTTCACTGAAAGCTGCACACTTTAAAGGTGAGCTGAAGCACCTTTAAAAACAAACCGAGTTAGGAGTGGCCTACTTTCTGTCTGGTGAATGTGACTGTCAAACTCAAATTGGGCCAGATTTAGCGTAAACTGCTTTTACATAAAAAAAAACATGCAGCAATTGCCACAGGGCGTGCGGTGAAGCTCACTGCTGCCTGCTATCTTTCAAATGATGTCATCATCGGCATCTCTGAAAAGCAGCACAAGGTGGAGCTATGGTGACATCTTAGTATGCTATTACATTGTTTCAATAACAACATCACAAAAAAAACTTGCCTACATACACACTTTCACAGCTATCTTGAATTTGGAAAAAAAAAATGCTCCAGCATATGACTTTAAGAACATTTTTGATGCAGTAAAACATTGTGAACAACAGCCTGACATCACTTTCTCCTTTAGCATATCTTACAAAATGAAGCCAGGGCTGGTTTGTGCATTTGCAGCACGACAAAGGTGCCATCCCAGTACTCGGTCGGGGGTCCTACGTGGCGCACAGGCCCTTAAATGAGCTGGTACCTTCCTCCTCTGGATGTTGGGCAAGATGAAGAAGGTGTTGACGTTGTGCTCTCGCAGATAAGCGTTGCGCTCCTGGCCCCGCCCGGGCTCCACTTCATACTCGCCATGCAGGCAGCCCAGCGTGGCCTCCGTGATGTGCACCCGCCTGCACAGCCACATCGGTGCTTTGTCAGCCCCACCACTGATTTAAAGCATACACAGGGCTTTAAAGGACAGATGCAAAGGAAAAAAATATTTTTTTTAGACAGCTTAGATGGAGAAAGGATGTCATAAAACGATTTTACAACGAATAAAAAAAATTTTTAGAGCTACATTTACGGCGCTATACGAATTTGTAGTTGGTGCTCGCAGGACCCGCTGCTGGTCACGTGGTAGGCCCGCGCGCCGCCACGCTGTGTCGCCTGCGTCGCCGCCGCACGCTGAGCGTTGTGCGAACGCCGCTTCAATGCGTTTCTCTGCGCCGCTGTCGCCACCGCCGCACAAGTCCAACTGCTTCAAGGCGCCGCCGCCGTCGTCTTACCGGTGCACGGGTCTATCATGTCTGCTTGCGCTTTTTCAGGAGTTTCCTTTGGGCTCTAAAAGTTACTTATTCATCTTAGTTTTTTGTTATACATCAAACAAAGATGAATAAGTTACTTTTAGAGGCCATAGGAAGCTTCCGAAAGAGCGCAAGCACCACATGACAAATATGGGCCCGTCACGTGATAAGCAAGGGCCACTTTTCCGCGGCGCCCGCCGGCGCGAACTACAAATTTATATAGCGCCGTAAATATAGCTCTAAAATTTTTTTTTCTCGGTTGTAAAATCGCTTTATGATATCCTTTCTCCATCTAAGCTGTTAAAAAAAAATGTTTTTTTCCTTTGCATGTGTCCTTTAAGAGACACGCTGCTAAGAGACACGCTGCTATCCAGTCCTTATTGTAAAATATTGAGCCAGCGCTCACCTGAAATTTCTGAAATTTGTAGATAATCTGGAAAAACTGGGGGAGAGGCCCTTACTCACTCAGAGTAGGAAAATGCAGAAAGGGCACATAATAGGAAGGCCTATACCGCTTCGCCCTGGCGCACTTAGAGAAGCACCTGACAAGCAATACCTCAGTTAGCTACCATAAAACACTAAGCATGTGCGCATGTCACAATAAGCACAGCACACACCCACTACTTTTGCAATGTTCGAAAAATAGCTAGAGAAAGAAATACCGAGGGCCCACCCCACACTTCCAAGCCCACCTAGCCTACCGATATGCCCCTCCTCGTGAGCCACTTCTCCAGGCTCCCCGATGCAAAGCGCCGAGGACCACCTCATTATATGCCCTATCCACATATTTGCTCATGGATCTAACGAACACCCATCACGCAGTTCTTCTAGATAACCTCCACATTTTGGGTGGGCGTTGGCTCCGCATTTTTCTGGCAGGTGGGCTCAGAAGTCTGGGGTGGGCGCTCGATGCATCATTTGCTTTCTTTCAGACATTTCATAAGTAGAATATGTAGGCGCTTGTTGTGACCCCAAGAGCATGCTCAGTATCTTCGGCATTTTACGGCGGCACGCGTCGGATCTCGGCGAACCCAGGTATACCCAGCGAGAAAGTCCAGAGTCAGCCTCTCACCCGGGTACTCCGCCAGCCTCCATGGAGTTTGCCAGGTTGACGTCGTTGGACCAGACGTCGTACTGCCACTTGCGCAGTCCCAGCACCCCGCACAGCACTCGGCCCGTGTGGATGCCCACGCGCATGTTCAGCTGCACGTCTGTCGCCTCCACCACGGACCTGCACACGCCACGCTCCACTCTAAGATGCTGCCCTTCGTCTGACAAAGCAGCGTCTGCAAAGAATGGTTCCTGCATTCGCCTTTGAGTGTGTTCCTGTCTACTGTGAACACTTGTAACCACTTATGGAGAGAGAGCAGAGAGTGGTGCCACCTGTCGGTTCGCCCTGGAACTGTGAATAACTAGACAAAAGGTTTTGTAGTACTTGCGAGATCAAATCTACGTACTATATATATAAGCAATGGTTGCTTATTACATTGTCAAAAGTATTTCGAGATGAAAAAACAATCTGTACGAAATTAGAAAATATATGCAGATTGGAGGTGTCCCAGGGCCACTCAACAGATGGCTCCGGTGCGGTCCCTCTTCCTAAGCGGATGCACTCGGTTGCACTGAAATGCACATGTGTAAACGAGCCTTAACGATAGTTACTGACTGTGCAATGAGATGCATATACAGGGTGTCCTTTTTAAGGCTTTGCAGATTTACTCAAAAAAAGTTGTGAAAGCCATACTATTATGTGCAGGCAGGTTGTATAGCCAGGGGAATTAATATAGGCTGTCACAATAAGCCGAACAAATAACAAAAATTTGTCAATTAACTTTTTAATTAGTGAAAATAAATTACATATTTTTCCAGTGAGAAACTTGCCCGGCATCATTGAAAACCCCTAAATCAGCCATTCCAGAAAGTTATGGAGCATGGGGGAAGCAGGGTGGAATGCTAAAGTAACCCCTCATGCAGCAGGGGCAAGACTACCAGTCCATTAACACTCTTGCATAATTTTTCCCTCTCTTAATTATCATCCACTTTTTCTCACCGCCAGCCTTGTGCATGTTGCACGAGAGGTAACTTTGGCGCACTACTGCGCCTCCCATGTGCTCCAAGTCTTTCTGAATATGACTTAATTAGTGGTTTTCGATGATGCTCAGCAAGTTCCTAATTAGAACCATACGTTTATTTCTGCTAACTAAAAAGTTAATTCACAAATTTTAGTTCATTATTCAACTTATTTTGAGTATGAGCTCCATGTATTATGTCCCCCTGGCAGTATAACCCCCCTGCACAAACTGCATTAGTGTGTAGCTTTAATGGCTTTTTTAAAAGTAATCTGTAAATGCCCCCCCCCCCCCCCCCTAAAAAAAACAAAAAAAAAAAACACTTTGTATATTCTGGCAATTGAACAAGACAAAAGGACAATTTCCTTTTGTATTAAACTTAGAAAATATCTTTTTATCACTTACTAACCAATGAATATCACAGAGGATATATTAGAGATGGGGTTCCAAATAAGTGCCTTTCACAATGATCTGCTGTAAACCACTTTAAGGCCCGCTTCACACAAGGCAATTTCGCCCAGCAACTTGACGTCACAACACCAGCAACACAGGGCGCCCGTGTTCACACGCAGCAACCGAATGGCTACGACTTGCCATCATCATCATGAAATTTTATTTTTCTTGCACCATTTAGACGTACAGCTACGCGCTAAAAATGTGTTTTCATACCTTTGAGTGGCATTGAGAATGCTAACTCATCTTTCTGAAAAGGTTTATTTAAAAAAATGAAAGCCGTTTACAACTCCTTGTAATGCCGAATTAGAGCACAGCTCTTGAGGAGAAGGAGGGAAAGGTACCGAGGGTCACGTGTTCTCGGGGGAGGTCACGTCACCTGGGGGCCAGGTGACCTAGGGGGGGAGGGGTCACGTGACACCCCCCCCCCCCCCCCCTAGGCGACGGCGACACTGCCCAAGCCGGAAACAGGCGCTTAAGAGCTGCGCTCTAAAAACAATGCATTTCAAACCAGAACCAAGTCTTTAGCTGTCATCATCACCACTACAGGGGTGTCACGTGAAAATATTGCGTCCCTGATTGGCTGCCGCCGCTTCAAACGTCTCCAAGTTGTTCGAGTTGCTCGTCCGTTTCGAGTCAGACCCGATCTCAGCGATTCACGTCAATCTAGGGAGAGCTAGGGAACAAGCCGCCAGCAACCTCAAAATTGCTGGAAAAGTTGTCCCATCTGAAGCGGGCCTAAAGGAATGCTCAACCGAAATTTGGATTTTGCCAAATAGGGCTGCAGAAGCGTTGAACGGGATGCTACAAACTCCAAAACATCACTCATACGTCAATTTCTCAAACAGATGGCCGTATTTTTGGAAATGAGGGGCGCGATCAAGAGAGGACTGTGATGTCACTATCCTCCTGGAACAGTTTAGAATGGGCGTGCAGAAGCGGCCTCGCTTCTCTCCTTCTTGGTTCGGTTCACCAACTCGAGGGGACGAAGTGAAGAGGAGAGGGAATGTGAATCGTGACGTCGCATGTCTCGTCGGCTTCGTCAGACGTGTACAATCGCATATCTCTTTTCCAAAAATACGGCCACTTGTTAGAGATATCGCTGTACGAGTGATTTTTTGGGTTTTGCAGCATGTGCCTGATTTCATTAATTTTGACCTGTCCACTATTTGACCTTAGTTTCTAATTGTATTTTATGTCTAGATGACATATTTAATTAAAATGTCAGAAAATATTGTCGCAGATGGAAAAGAATCAACAGGCGTAAAACTAAAGATAAAGGTTTAATCGGAGAACTTGTGCTAGAAACAAAAGAGAGAATGAGCGTCGAGAAAGCAGTAGCGAGCTTTGAGGCGTCGGCATAACAGCTGGCTAGAGCGTGACTGACTCGGCAAGGCCATGCTGGGCTCCTCATCTACCACATTCGGCATCTCAAACAATCGGCCTAGAATGTTCGAGTGTCACAAATTTGGGGTAAGAGCAAACACAAGTCTCCTAGAAGTAAGGGAAGAAGGAATTAGTAAAAGTGATGTCCGGCATCATGCAGTTGCCTGCGTGAGATTCATGCGCATTCCTTTTCGGCCATGCAAGCGGTAATGCCAGTCTGGAAAATTTTTTATACTATATATGTAGAGATCTTGATTCTCGGCATGAATCGGCTGATAAGGTGGGGCTTCTTTAATATAAACAAAATGAACATCTACCAGTGGATGAGTGGATAAATGGGCAAAACCCTGGTATATATTATTGAATAAAAAGTAATTTTAAGAACCAAAGTGGTGCATCATGCTGCGAGCAAAGATGAGCGAGTAGAGAATACAACAAACATACTCTCCTTTGTTTTGATTACTGGAGTGTTTCTGATTGCATTTGTATAGAAAAGCAGAACTACCATAATTAGTGTTTTGTGACAGGAATAAAATCAAAATGAATGCAAAATAGCCGGTTAGTCACTGAACACCTTTTGTTTGCTGAGGCAAAAATTACTGCCTTCTCCCAAAGCGCCATGTTTAATTTGCAATGCCTATCTCCTCCCACTGGTGCAAAGTCTTCAGAAAGCTGTAGAGATGACAGCAGTAATGTGCCAGTGTATTCCCAAACATTTAGTAAAATACTCTAGAATATATTCTGAAAATAAATGGGTAAGTGTCGTCATAACTCTAACAAGAGAAACTTGTCAACTTCTCTGACACATAAATACAGGTGTTTCTGTATGCACATTATCCATAGTGGCGGGGCTTCCTTCTTTTTGGCAGCGATGACTGCGGCCACATTTCAATCTAGAAATTTTGGTACGATGCCACTCATTCCGCTATGGTGCTGACTGACACCACTTACTAAAAAGTTATAAACTTTTCTTTTGCGGCAGATGGTGATGAGAAGAAGAGGGGGTTAGTTGCAGTACTCTTAGTGAATTTAACACCTTAAAGAAACAGGCTCCTTACGCTCCACTCATCTTCAGTACTTGTTACACTTGTTAGTGTTGACCTCAGTTGTCGTCGAAAAGATTGACAAACTAATCACAACTAGCCAAAAAGAGCAATGCGAGCTTTGCGATACAATCGGTCAAGAAAAAAAGAGATGAACTGACGCGATGGCGTCGATCATGTCGAGCCCCATCTCAACGGTGCAATGGGCGTGGTCCGAGCGTGGCTCTGGTAAGCCGCTCACACAGTAGTAGCAGTCGCCCAGGATCTTGATTCGCAGGCAATGGTTGTCCTGGATCGGAAAAAAATATCTCTGAGAACACTGCTGTGTATCCAAGAGGAGCTCCAAGGGTGCAACTGCTGGGTTTGGCTGTCAGTTGCTGCAACGTGAAAAGTAAAATGCTGGGACCACTCCTGAATGCAGTGATGCAATCGCTGCAGGTCAACGGCGAAGTATGTTGGCTGTATAATCTGTTCATCCCTAAGCTGACAGTGCAGTGGAAGCTACACACTTGCTGGACCAATCAACCATTTCCTTTTCATCCCGTGACCCGATTCTCTGCATGTGGGTATGGACAGGACCATGATCATGTGGCAAGGGATAGAAGTATCATTGGTCCTGCAAGCACGTATAGCTTCCACTGCACTGTTGGCTTAGGAATGATTGGATTAGAATAGAACATATTTCTCTAGCTTAAAGGGGCACTAACATACTTTGAGATCCTTGTTCTATGGTCATAACTCAATCTACGAGCTCTAAGCATGCTAAAAAACCCGAAATTACAGCCATGCCCAACCGATTTGCATATTCAAAAAGTGATCAAAGTTCCCGACACTTACCGTTGCCGCAGAACGACAGATGGCACTATCGAACCTTGCTCTATAATCGGCCAAGCATGAATGCATTTTAGGGTTTTTTAGGATGATTAGAGCTCATAGATTGAGTTACGACACTAAAAAGAGGATCACAAAATCACTTTAGTGCCCATAGCAAAAATGCAGGACCAGACATTACTTACCTTAAATGTATTCAACTGAAAGGACAACTCGAATAATTCAGTAGAGAAACATTCAAATCTGGATTAGAGTAATGATCCGCCCAATTTAACCATGGATTCGAGTGGCGCACAATTCCAAAATTTGGAGCAAAATCGAACAGTGTATAAATTTAAACTTCGTTTGGCCCGACTAGACAGTTACCACACTTACTCACAAGCATGCTAAATTGGCCATAGCTACGTGTCAACTTACACATGTGATTCGACACTGCGCGATTTGTGGCACTAGCCAAGAGATAGGATGCCAAACACCAGCACGGGCAATCAGTGGACAGCACTGGCCGGTCCCTTTAAGATCGAGTATTCTTTGTAAATAGTGTAAAAAAATATATACTTGTCCTAAGAAAGGCACGTTACAACATTCTGTTTGCCAACAAGGCTTATGAGCCTTACTTTCTCACAAAGCACTAGTGTTGGCAAATATCCTTATCAATTGGATGCATCTAAAGAATGAAGAATGACAGAGCCCAGAAAATGCATGTTCTCCCAACAGATTACACTGGTAAAGAGAAAATGTAGCACATCAAGTGCAGAAGAGGTGAGGGAGACAAGGTGATGGACTTACGTTGGCAAGTTGATCAAATCGCCCAAAGAGCTCATTGAGCAACCTGACGAGTTCCTGCGCCGTGCACTGAGACGCCAGGACGGTGAAGCCAACGATGTCAGCAAACAGGATGCTGCATGGAGAAGAACCTACATCTTTCCCGACTCTCTTCGGCTGAGATTACAAGGAGGGGTAATCTCTCAGTACCTCTCCTTTCCATCTGGCATATGACCTTTAATCTATGCCAATTTCATAAAATCTATTACAATAATTCCTCTCTGCATACGTTTAAATAGTACACCCTAAATTAGAATATGCATCATCAGTCTGGGACATTCACCCTAAATATCTTGCACCCAATTTGGGATCAGTTCAAAACAAGGCAGAGTGCTTTTTGATATCTTAATATTCTAGGTTTGTTAGCGTATTGCTTAACGTATCGCTAAACTTTGTTTTTTCACGAGCTTTACTTCTATGACTATCTATATCCATCATTCATCTTGCCAGAGGATTGCATTTGAAACACTGAATATTCCTTTCCTTCTTCCCATTGACATCTGTGGACTGGAATGGGCTTCCTAAAGTCATTGTTTCAACACAAGACATCGACACATCTTGTGAAATGTTAACCTCGTTATCTAATTAAACCACTCCCTTATGTAATACCCTGACCCCCAGGGTTCTTAAAGGGGTCATGAAACGCTTTTCCAACTTTTTCCTGTTTAGCTTTCCTCCTCAACTCATAAATCGCGCATTCCACCAAAAGAGTTAAACAAGACGAAAAAGGGGAGACCCCTCTTTCTCGCACTGTCGTTTGTGTAATCCGGACACATCCATTCTCCCCCTAGAAGATTAGCCCGTCGCTCAAAATTCAGACAAAAGTTGCTTTCCCCACCCCGTTCATTCCGAAGCTGACAGTGCTGTTGAAGCTACGTAATCGTTGGGCCAGCCACACTTGCCACGTGAGCGTGGCAAATGTGGCTGCAGAGAATGAAGTCAGGTGATGAAAGGGAGGCGGCTGATTGGTCCGGCAAGCGTGTAGCTTCCACCACAATGTCAGCTTAGGGGTGAAGGGAATAAGTGAGGTCCGGTTGCGTGTGACGTCAGTTTGGACCCGATGATGCGCTTTTGGGACCGCGGATGTATCACAGTGAAAAGGCAGAGAGGTCGCGAAGGGGAGGAGGTACGAAATAGTCCGCTCTGTTTTCAAATTTTCGCACTGAAAGTCAGGCTTTTGACTTTCTACCTTTTTTCTTTTGGTCCACTGAACAATGTGCTATTAGTAAAATCCCAATCTAAAATGATTTATCCCAACCCAAAAATCGTTTCATGGGCCCTTTAAGGAACTTAAATAAATAAAAGCTCAACAAATTAATGATCACATCAACATCTCTTCGCACCTCGACCATAACTGCAAAGCTAGCGTATCCACATGTAAAACTGTCTCTTTTTACAGTTCTTTCATACCCAAAATCTCTTATGAATGGAACCGCCTTCCCCCTTCTATACTGTTGAGACCGGTTATAACGAAGTCAGCGGGAATCAGAAATCACTTCACTATATGCGCTATTTCGTTATAACCGACTTCGGTTAACTAAATGCAAAAGAAAATGGGAAATCGCGATCGCTTCGCTGTAGCCGCTATTTTGTTATAACCGACTTCGTTATAACAGGTCTCGACTATAGCAACAATCAGAGGTTTTGATGGGTTTAGTGCTGCACTTGCTAATCCTTATTCTTATGTCGAGCTAATGTAACAACTTTTAATTATGTTTGTATTCCCAAATTCCCACCCCTCTGTAATGCTTCAGCCTTGAGTGTATAAAAAATAAATAAATAAATAAGTGTGAGTGCCATCGGCCGCCGAGGACCCACCTGACATTCTCGTGCTTTTGGATGTAGATCTTGTGAAACTGGCCTGCCCGTGGTGCTATGATGTCCTCTTTCATTTCCATGGCCACGTGCTGCGGTAAGACGCTGAGCAGCAGTCGCTCCTGCATCGAGTGTTGCCAAGAGGCAAGGGGATCAGGTGTTAAAACGGAGGTTCGGGCGAGTTGGTTGTTCGTGACTGACAAGGAAACAGCACACCCTCAAAACAAGCACTCTAAGCTTTCATGCACACAAAAGAAAGAGCCACTTACACAGCACTCACTGACAACTCTACGTTATATTTACAATTTTCGTTTTCGTCTTTCTTTGGGACTAGGGTATCTATGGCAAAAAATTGCCCTTTTCTTCTTCCTTCTTTTTCCTGTGTTTTTTTTTTTGTAATAGGAAGCTAAACCATAAAATTATTGTATGGCGAAGTACTCTAGTTCTCTGTTGGATAACATTATGGAAAGAGTGCTGACACATCTCTCCTTTTGCCTGGCAATGTTCTCTGCTTCCATGATTTCTCTTGTCAGCTTGTCGCAGTTCCTGCCTAAAACTGTGCATTTCTCCAGCTGCGCTGTGCAGCCACAGTCTCGGCAGTGAATTCCCAGGTGTCCGGAGTTCTTGTTGGCGATAGTGCAGTTGTGCTCACGAAGGCGATCGTTGACGCACCGTCCGGTCTGTCCTATGTATTGCCGTCCACAGGATAGAGGGAATGTTATCCAACAAAGAACTAGAGTACTTAGCCATACAATAATTTTATGGTTTAGCTTCCTATTACAAAAAAAACACAGGAAAAAGAAGGAAGAAGAAAAGGGCAATTTTTTGCCATAGATACCCTAGTCCCAAAGAAAGACGAAAACGAAAATTGTAAATATAACGTAGAGTTGTCAGTCAGCGCTGTGTAAGTGGCTCTTTCTTTTGTGTGCATGAAAGCTTAGAGTGCTCGTTTTGAGGGTGCGCTGTTTCCTTGTCAGTCGGGATCAGGTGCTCTTCCTTGACAGCATCAGAGAAATGTAGATGACCTTATATCCTTACAAACAGCGAAAGCCTGCACTGCAGAACCCTGGGAACCTGGCTGCAATTCCCATCCCTGCCCATTTCTATCCAGATAAGCATCATACTGACGTGTGTTTGCGCAATCACTACTGTGTGATGCACGCTAAAGTCCCCAAGCTAGCAGTGGTACTACACCGGCTAAATTTCTCATAGGCAGCATGCTACAATGTTCAAGGTTGTGCTGTCTAAACATCCAACATTTAATTTTTTTCTTTTACTTACAAAGGAGTGCAATAAAGTTATTAATACAAGTCATTTTGGAGCAACTTTGGGAGGAACTAAAAGTGCATTTTGGAGTAGCAAAAAGCTTTTGGAGCACAGGCATATAACTTGTTTCATTCACTTCTCTGCAAATAATCTGTTATGAGATTAATCTGGTGGCCGATCCAACTGAAAGACAATGCCTTCTTTGCTTTCTCACACATGTGCAACCACTCCATTAGTATCTACAGTTTATAAACTAGCTTATTTTTGCTTAAAGGGGTACTCCACCGATTTTTTGAGCTACCTCAACTAACTATATTTTCTGACTCCCCGGCCTTTAGCCTTTCCGGTATGCTATTTAGCATCGCGAAATTCATAATAGGTATTGTGAAATCGGCAAATGAAAATGGTGCAAAAACCAATATTCAAATATTCGCGCACTTTTCAGTGCCGTAACGTCGGTGGCAGGCAGGCTTGCCAGTCGAGCAAGTAGTCTAAAAATAGAATATGCCAATTATTTGTTCCGTGCTGGAGCGCGGATACGGGGGCAAGCTTCCAAAGCACTCATTTGACACCAAGAAACTGCTTCAAATCCGTTGGGAACAACTTCTGTAGTCCAAAAAGTTAACCCCTGCCTTCCACTGACGTCACTTTGTTGTTGTTGCCAGTAGAGACTTTCAGTTTGAAAAACATGGTGAAGACCAAAACTGTAAATTCAATAACTTTGCAAAAAAACAATATTTTGACCTAATATTTGGGATACTATTTTAGCAATGTTTATTGGTGTCTTTAGCAAAATTTCAAGCAAATCGGAGACAATGAAAAAAACGGTGGAGTAGCCCTTTAACAGGACCAAACGCAGCAGTAAACAATCTTGTGACAAGAACCATCTTTGGGGCTTAAAGTGGCCGACTGCAGCAGTCAATTTTTAGACACACCGAGTGATGAAGGACTAGAACATCTGTGAATTTTAATGCAAAAATAAAACTTAAATCAAATTAGTATTCTACCAAAATGTTGATGGAATAAAGCAATCATGAGAACAAAATTAATGCTTTGTTTAAGTTCAAAAAGTTGCAATAAATCTAAACAATTCTTAATCCAATCAAAAAAACTTTTTTTTTTGTCATCATTTATGCATTATTGGCATCTGACACGTAGAGTATTATGATGATGTAAAATCAACATATGGGCTATAAATTTCACTTACAATATCCAACTGAACTAATACGGGTTATTCCCAAGCTTCCATTTGTTGACTGCTAAAACTCACTAAACTTCAAGTGTACCCTTCACTAACTGTGCCCACAAATGATTGGAGGTAGTCATGTGCAAATAGTGGATTTTGAGTTAGAAGTGTATTTGAAGCAAATAGCGATTTTGGCCAAATAATGTTTTAATCAAATATCGGATAGTTTTTCTCCAAACCTTTCACTATTGTACTGTGCTAAATTTAAGTGAAAGCCCAGATAAACTTGAGAGGGTTGTTCCCAAGCTTCCATGTATTCATTTCTAAGTTAAATTAATTTCAATCGAACTATATTTATAAATTGTAGCCCCAGAAAGTCTAATGCCTGATTGGGATAGCAAGTAAATTACACTTCTGACATAAAATTAAACCTAGAGATGCCCAGCTATCATCGAGATTTATAAATTCTCTTACTATATACAAATACCATTTTTATATCTAGAATTTTAGAAAAAAAAGAGACAATAATGAATGATGAACGCAGGTTGTCAGGACATCTCTGACTAACATACTAATGCATAATATCCAGTTTAATTTAGAAACTTTTACTATAGTGTAGATATCAACATTCACGGAGTTCCAGTTTCTTTCTAAATACACCAGACACACGCGTGCACCATCCCGTTTCGAAAGTGTGCTTTCCCCCCCAAGCATACGCACTGCAATATTTGTACTTTTCAAAGTGATTACTGCGGTAGGTTAGCCCCGTTGAGTGCGCTTTTTGCCGTGCACCGGTGCATTGCGGAAAAGCAACACCCTCAAAAGCGAGCTCTGTGGGAGTTGCTTCTCCGCAGTGCACCAGTGCTCGGTAAGAAGCGCACTCAATGGGGCTAACCCACCGAGATCAACATTCCGAAAAATACGAATATCGCAGTTCATCTGGAAGCGAATATTGAATAGCGTATAATTCAAAACTACCATTCGAAAATTCGAATATTCGCACAATACTAGTTGGAGGCCTATGCAAGGTGTCTTATTTTGAACTTAACAATTCTTCTAAAACAAGCAGTGAAAGATGCACTAATGTGATTCGTACAGGTGAGTTGTATGGCCAGGGGGACATGATATAGTGGGCTAATCATCACAAGTTAAATAATTAACTCAAACTTGTTCATTAACTTTTTAACTAGTGGAAAAAAATGATTTCAGCCCGAAACCATGCGCATCACCGAAAACCACTAAATCAGTCAAATGTAGAAAGATTTGGCGCGCGTGCTTAGTTTTTCTGGGTCCCGAATATGCATCGAAATTTAAAGTTTTCGCATCGCCAGCTTTGCGCCTGTTGCACAAGTGCTAACTTTAGCAAACCAACGCGCATCCTACGCGCTCAAAATATTCTTAAAATTTACTGATCCATTGGCTCTCGATGACGCTCAGCAAGTTTCGAATTAGAACTATGTGTTTTTCACTCATCAAACAAGTTAATGAACACATTTTAGGTTATTATCCACCTTATCATGGCGGTTAACTCCCTATATAATGTCCCCCTGGATGTACAGCTCACTTGTAGAGTCCGCATTTATGTAGCTTTCGCTGCTTTTTTTTTTTTTTTTTTTTTTTTAGAAAAATCAGTTGGCACAGAAATTAAACCGTACAATGCAGCCCAACTATGCATAATAAAATGTAGCTAAAAATCCATCCTTTATAACCTTCTTGCTCAAATCTCAAATTAAAAATATATATATATATATATATATATATATATAATGACCAATTAAGCATGCAAGTAATCAAAGTATTACAAGTTGTCACATCAGCATTCACAAAGTTCCTCTTCGATTAAATCCCAATCTGGAAGAATGCTTTTCCCCGCGACGTCGAAAAGTGATACGCGGAACTGCGATGTCTACTCCGCGGGTGTCGCTTCTCCACAGTGCATCAACACGCAATGAGAAGCACACTCAACGGGTCTAGCTAACCTGCTCAAACATACTACGAACAATGAGAAAGATTGTGGGACCACTGAGTATTGTTAATTGATAAGAAGATCACATCGACTATTGCGTTATTCAAAATATTTTTTTATTCACACAATACTACATTGTAACGATTCGGCAAAAGTAAATTGAAGTGATTGAAGTTGCTGAAGTAAATTCCTCATATTAACGAAATGCTGCACAGCCATGTTACAGTGCAGCCGTTATCACTACTGTGTGGTGCACGTTAAAGACCCCAGGCTAGCGGTTGTACCGCACTGGCTAAATTTCTCATCTACAGCTGGGAGACTCGTCGCCCTTGTGAGGCAGACCAAGTTCTAGGCTGTATAAACACACACACAACCCAATTATTAGTGCAGCCGTGTGCTTTGAAATTAAGTGCGTGCTAACAGCGAAAGTTCGCCAGATTCCTCCCGCACCGTCAAAACAGTGTTTCACGGCAGACCATAAGTTGCTTTACATGCAGCTCGTGCTGATGGCGACATGTGAATACCTCCTGTACGCTCGTCTATGCCTACAGGCAGTGAGAGGTGGCCTCACGAACAAGGGAAGCGGGGGGGGGGGGGGGGGGGGTTAGTCCTCTTCGCCCCCCCCCCCCCCCTCCCTCTCTCAGAAATTGAAAATATTTCAAGTGAACAACATGGGGGAGGGGGAGGAAAATCTCCCAAATAGTTCCGACACCCCTGTCAGTGATCGTAAATTCGAGCGATAGTGCCAGTTCATTTAGCCGCAACAAAGGAATGGCCGGCGCTGTCAAGTTCAACCCAGTGCGGCTCCTTACATCTCTCTGACACTAAGAGCAGACACACTCGCGGTCCATGCTGTCAGTGTGAGGCAACGTCAACCCGCTCATTTTTCTTTGGACAAGCCAGCCGAAAGGAAGATAAAGCAAAACTTCCCAGCTGGATAAAAACAAGAAGTGCAGCTGTATTTCGATGTATCGATCAAACCGTCATGTGCAGAATTGCATTTTATGAGGAAGGCAGCCGACGCTCGCTTTTAATACTACGCATCATTTTGGCACGGGCCGCCGCGTCTTTTCGAAACGTCGTCGTTTTCCCTTTTTTCGCGACGACACCGAGAGGCTCTGTTTCACCGTAACTTGGCAAACGGTGAAGGCTGGTTCACGTCCCAGCGAGCAAATCAGCGCGTCAGAGGGAGCCACCTGATTATATACCCTATCTGACTATAGTCGGTGACAGGTCAAGAACAAAGTGGAAGCTCCTCCCACCTCTTTTCACTTTAGTAGCGCGAACGCCGGAGAGGAGGCGAACCCCTCTTCACCATTCGCTCCGCTGAAGTGGAAAGGGGTGGGAGGAGCTTCCTATTCGTTCTTGACCTGCCAGTGCTGTCAAAATTACGGGCGGGGGAGAGGGAAGAAGGCCGCTTTTGCACCAATATTGAGGATAAGGGAGGGAAAAGAAACATCCGGGACACACACAAGAGGGTGAGAGGGAGCTCCTCCTTCCCTTCATCTCTAACTGCGCGTGCTTCGCAAAGGCTTGACTATCAGACAATCCTACCTACGCCAGCAGCAAAATAACTTTTTTTTTCTCTCTCTCTCTTCTTAGAGGGAGGGACAAGAAACAAAGAGTGAGTTAGTAAAAAATGACAAAGAACATGTGTGTGTGTGGGGGGGGGGGGGGGAAGTAGCACTAATAGAACAAAGAGTGATGATGAATATGTTATCATCTAATCTTCTATATCTCTTCGGAAGTTGTTCAGCAGATCACCCAAAACGTTTTCTGTCCACCCTTCCATTCTTTTTACTGCCAGCATCGCTAGCCTGTACAGGACCTAAGTTACTGTTATTGGTCGGCATGATGTTATGCTATCCTTCTTTCCCTTGCCTTTATTTATTCATCTGATTCCGCCGTTTCCAACCGTTAAGTACCTTTCCCCCCATTATTATTTGATCAGTTGCCTGTCTTTAATTTGCTCTTTGTTCCTAGTGTCTGGACTAGTCTCGTTCCTATGCAATCTGGGCCTGTCGGCGTTCCAGCCGGTACTTTACTTTCTGCTCTGTCCCATTCCCCCGTGGTCGTCTCAGTTGTCTCGTTTGTGTTCTCGTCTTGTGCCGTGTTGCTTTCTGTGTTCTGGCCAATCTCGTTCAGTTCAAGTTCTGCAAATGTTGCCTCAATGGTTCGTCTAATAAATACCCTCGACTCCTCGCCTTCTACACTTATCTTCTCGTGTATGGTTAGTGAACGACGGAACCCTTCTTTGCTTCTTCCTGCGCATTAATGTGCTCCCAGAACCTCTTTGCTGCATTCCTATCGCTTTGATTTCCCTCCATCATCCACTTTACTCCAGCTCTTTCAATCCTGGCCTGGACTAGGGCAAATGCCTCTCTCTTTATTTCCTGAAACGAATCCCATTTTTTATGTTATTTCAGGGGGTGTGTCCCCCCTTTTCTTCGACCCTTGAGGCCTCTTGTTGCCCTCCCCTCCCCTCCTCCCCCCCCCCCCCCCCCCCCCCGCCCGACCTCTCTCCCACCAGGTTTTCGGTGTGTGTTTTCTTCTTCCTGTTTGTTTGATTTTGCCGTCCTGGCTACGTCACTGTCGCTGACGACGGCGGTTTTTGACGTGCAGTGCGCGGTAATGACCCCGGGCCGGAGACGGGCGGGGGCGCGGATTTCGAACCTCGGCCGTGGGGGGGCCCCGGGCAGTGTGTCAGAATGGCGGGAGCTGAGAGACTGACCAGCTTCTCGTTCTCGTCCTCCATGTCGAGGCGGGCGTTGATGCAGTTGCGCGTGTCCAGGAAGGCCTTGCGCTGCGCGTGCTCCATGATCGAGTGCACGAACACCCCGACCAGGTGCACGCACACGAACACCACGCCGTTGGCCAGCACCTGCACAAGACACCCTCGTGAGAAAAAACATATTTTCTTTCTTTATTCTTTTACACAGAGCGTGGTTCTAGGGCTAAGGTTTAATAAAAAAAAAAAAAAAAAAAAAAGTTCACAGAAGTGTGACACGTAATTTTCCCGCTAAATTTAGCGGGCAAATTGAACCGGTGTTCGTGAAAACGTAACACGTAATTTCCCCGCTAAACAAAGCCAGGTTTTTCCCGCTAAGTGTAGCAGGTAAATTGAATAAAAGTACAGTTTCAGGCAACTTCAAAAACTTTTCCCGCTTTCTTTACCGGGGAAATTGAAATAGTGTATATTTACGCGGAATTCAATGTTTTCCCGGTCAATTTAGCGGGGAAATATTTTTAACAGCAATAATCGATGAACCGTAAGATTCAGAAAAGAATTCCACCCCACATTCGGTGCATCCCAGAAGTGAGGTCAAACACCCCTTCGATTTCTTTCTTAATGACCGGGTCAGTGACTGCACTTTCGTCCACAAAATCACTCATGATCGGGCCATTCATCAAGGCACGACTCCTAATAGACCATTTGCTATATTACCCAAGCATCGAGGAAAATGCAGGGATTGGTGTTCCACGCGCCACACGCGCGCGCCTTCCCCGTATAAAACATTACGAGTAAATAACCAAAATAAAGCGTTGACGAATGCGTTTGCAAGATGCTATTTGTTTTAGGTATTTGCTTTAGAAAAGTTACAACTACTGCTGAGGCCAGCACGTGTGAGCCTCCTCAGCTTTTGATGTGACAACGTCTCTTACCCAAGGAGCCAGAACGCAATTGTTTTCGTGTCGTTATGTACTGTCCTTGACTCGATGCCTCACTCGTTTAAAACACGCCTATTCACTCCCCTTCCCGGGGTGAAACGGCGCGCTTTCAATGACCCGTCGGACTCGCTGTTGCTAGCAGACGAGTCGTTCGATTGAGTCCTCTCTGGTATCATTTCGGAGCTGAATAGACATACACTCCACAATAGGTGCTCAGGTATTACGTGCACGCTGACATGACGAAATTACGGTCAGTGCGCGGGCGAGTTGTTGGGAGTTTACCACCATAATTTTAACCCAAAACTAAAGCAAACACACACACACACACACACACACACACACACACACACACACACACACACACACACACATATATATATATATATATATATATATATATATATATATATATATATATTACAGTGCAAGAGAAAGTAACAGGGACAGACAACGTCTCTAAAGACGCAGTCTGTCCCTGTTCCTTCTCTTCCACTGTAATCAAAAGGAAGAAAAAAAATCCTTCTGCCCCAGTCTCGGGTTAAAATCATCATGGCTGACATGATGTAACTTATGCTGCCATCTTGTGACACGTCATGCATGTATTTGATACTTGTGCTTCATTCCATTAATTCCGTAACTTACAAATAAGTATGTCACGTTGGATACATGCGTTTCATTTCAAGACTCGGCACGTCGACGTTGTCACGCCTAAAACTTTTTGGCCGTGTCCTATACAGAACCTGCCCTTCGAAGTGCTTGAAGTGTCCACTTTGCCTTCCCACTTCTGTGCAAGCTTTTGTTCGTATCTCAGCACAGAGCTAGCTGTTTAGTTGTGTGTGGAAGCACCGAGCACGCCAACGAGATGCTGAGTGACGAAAGGTACAATATGAACTGCCGCGCATGGCTATTTTAGGCAGGGAATCAAAGGTAAACCAGATACAGTCCCCGCCTGAGTGAGAAAAGCAGGACGTGTCTTCAGAACGGCCGGCCTCCAGCACGAGCTCCGTGCCTTCCGCCGTGCTGCGCGATATACGAGATACCGAAGCATTGTCGAAGGCAGAAAGCTCGCGCTGGAGGAGCAATGAAGCTCTCCCAGACGCTCTCAGAATATTCCAGCGAAATCGTGTTAGAATAGGATATTTTTGAGCACCCAAATTGTTGTTTCCTCAAAGTTCGGAACGATCGCAATAAAACTCCAACGTTTTCTCGTTTGACTATGAGCATGAATTACATTTATACGTAGAACCTCGTGCAAAGAAAAATCGGCACTTGAATTATAACTATGCCATCTTAAAAAACATCCCAGCCGAACTGGTTCTTCTCAAGCTTTCTCCGCTCCTCCAGGTAATGTACGTTTAATTTACGCTATTGACTGTGCCATTCAACGGATGGGACCAACATAAAGATGACAACAACAGTGTTGACATAAAAAATGAGTCTACAGAGCAGCCCGAATAAATCTGGAAACGCTAAAAAAACCTTGCTCCTATGAAAAAAAAAATATCGTAGGAATATTGCCGTTTCTCATACATACTAGACGGTTTTATTTATAAATTTCACTGCCAGATAGAGTCGTTACATAATCACTCACCAAGTTATTATTGTTATTGTTAATATACTCGGTGCTTTCGTTTGTAACGTCCAGATCTGGAGGAGTGCTTTCCCCTTAGCACGCGGGAGCGTTGCGGGAAAGCAAGGCACGCAAAATCGTGGTGCCTGATTCGCGGTTGTCGCTTCACTGCAATACACATGTGCGCGGAGAGAAGCGCACTCAACGAAACTAACGGACCACTAAATTGAGAAATATTAGGAAACTTCCGACTACTGAGAGCGTTTGATAGAGAAATCAAATCGAGTAGTACATTATTTGAGGCGCTCATTAAGAGCTCTGAACATTCGAGCAAGCTTACCGTATTGATGCGGCGATGCAGCGGGGTCTGCGCTCTCTCATATTTAGTATTATCAAAGAAGAATTAAATTTCGGCGCAATGTTGGCCGAGGCGCTAGTTCCTCGCATTTTGGCGAAATGTTGCAGAATGCTGCAGGGTAAGCACTTTGGCGCGAATGGCGCAGTAATCGTATTACTGGGACGCGATGTACGTGGTTATAAACATGGCTCGGAACTAGAGGTTCTCTCGGGGCACCCAATAAATATTTTTGGGAGACAGTTTCGCGGGGTCTAAAACTAAACTAAAGTATAACCATGGCGCGAAGATCGCCAGTCAGCCAAGCTAGTCTACGGCGGCCACGAGTCCATACTTCTGTCAGCAGCCTCTATACCTAAGCTACCCTGTTATCGGGGTTGATTCCCCCCCCCCCCCCCCCCCCCTAATTCGGTGTTTTTCCGCGTCAATTCAAGAGAAAGAAACGAGGCAAGGAGTGGAATTGCAGAAAAAAAGGTATAGATAATGAGTCCTTTCTTACGAAGCTCGGGTGTTTCTTATTCTAGGACAGCTTCAATTCAAGGTCTTTCGTTTCCCACCAATTTCGACCAAACAGGCTCGGGGGTTACTATTCGGGGTCTATCGGTACAAAAACACGGAAGCATACTTCTATCCTAGCTGTTTTTGAACAAGCCCGCGTTTCCTCATACCAGGTGCGGCGGGCACCGAGCGTGCACAGAAACCAGATTCGTGTGCAGCATCCGCGCATGCGCCGACAGCAGCGCCACCGTAGCAACGTGATGTTAAAGCCACGGGTTGTTCTACACACACACACAAAAAAAAAAAAAAGCACACACGTTGGCGTTTTTTGCGCGATGTTCTCGCTTGCCGCGCAAAAATCCTTCCACGTATTTTTTTGTTTTTTATTGCTATGCTACGCAGTTTACTAGTTCAGTGTTATCGTCATCTCCTCCTCGAGCCGAGACACGCTCGTAAATTACTCGTGTCTCCGCGTTTCCCCCCTTTGCCCGACTAAAAGAATGCTTCCGCCTTCCGCGGCGCTAGCGGCCTCGGGGAGCGAGTGACCCGTGCCCCCTACGTCGCGCGCCCACGTACGGGCTATTTTTCTTTTTCTCACAAGCTTAAGGGTGTAAATTGTAACACCCTTGAAGGTGCAAAATATTCCCTGATAAGGGTAGTTCTTTTTACGCCCTCAGAGGCGTAAAGAGCCGATTTACACCCGTAAGCCACGGTCACGCCGCTCGTACACGTCGTACGACAGACACGGTGACCGAACTGTCTGCGGACAGAACTATTCGATGCATGTTTCACGCATATTTACGCTTCCAACGTGTATGCAGACAGTTTTTGTATCGTCATACAAGAAAGAAAGACGCCTTAGTGTTTGCAGACTGTCTTTTATAGGATGGGTATGCGCGGCTCTAGAGAGTGCTCGAGACGGTTGGAAATGACACGGCCGTGTGCGCCAGAAGAAAAGTCGAGACCGGACGTCCGCAGCGGCCCCTAGCAGCGTTCCTCGCAAGACGCGCATTTATCAATGTCCGATCATTAGATATACAGCGGCAATCTCTTTTTTATTATTCTTTTCGAAAGCAGCGTTCTTTAAAAGCCACCCAGAAACATACGCGAACAAAAGTGGCTTTGCACTGCGCCGTATCGTCACGTCGAGCAATTTACCGAGACGGATATGGTAATCACGAGTTCATTACCGAGAAGAAGAAAAAATTTACTAAAAATACGATCAATAAATCGCAATTTTCTCGCAGAGGGCGTCTTACGTTTATCTTAAACCCGCTAAAAACAAACGTAAGCCATATATATTAATTGTCCGTGATATATAAGGCAACGAAAAAAAAAAAAAAAAAACGAAACAGAAATAAGATTTCGCAGAACATTAATACCGAGCAACTTATTAAAAACAGGCAAAAAGATTCGATATTACTTAATAATTAAAACCAAAAATTTAAGTCGCACTGCAGAGAGCTTACAGATCGCTTCTGCTTTCATTTATTAATAACTGGATGACCGATGTGCCGGAACAAGCCATTCGGTTTACATATTTCTGTTATTTTAGCTTAAAAAAGCGTTAAACCAAAAATAATGCGCATGTTTGTTGGTTCGTGCTGTCAAATGACGTCGATTTCACGTAACATTACATTGTCACATATGTCGTTCAGCGCAAAATGTTTTCCGATAAATTTAGCGAAAAAATTTCTTCGCAAAACTTAGCGGGATAGAGGAAAAAAAGAAGAAAAACAACTCTGCAGCAAAATTGGGTAGAAAATACCAGCGTGTCGGCTCGGCAGCC